ACTAGTATCTCCTTAAGACCTTATCGACACGATGTATTGGTCAATCCTCTCTTAGTTTAATGATCAAAGTCATTCTGGCCTTTTTCCAGTAATCATTATTATTTATTTGAATAAATAGCAGTCTTTTAATAATAACATAAAAATTTATTTGATGGTTTCATTTATCAAGTGACCTTATATTTTTTTTTAAAGACTTGTCTAATATTTTCCTCCTTGTTCAAAAATAGAAGATTCAAGTATAGAATACATTCTTGTGCGCAAGCTAGCAAAAACAAGCAACTTTTTTCTCCAGATTTATCGTTCCTCTGAAACGCGTAATAAATATTCAATAGAAAATCTTCGATTTTTTAAGTTTGTAGTTTGTCGGTCTGGGAGAGGATTAAGATGAACAGTTCGACTGTTCTGGGTCCATCCATTATCGCTGGTTTACGTCATTGCTGTTCATCAGTGAGTAACTGCTAGTGGTGGGAAGTTTGATTCTTTTAAGTGAGTCGATTCCCTTCGATTCAATCCCTGAAATGAGTCGATTCTTTTTATCGATTCTTTGATTCCCCCCCACTCCTGGTACCAGAGCTTTCGTTTATTGGTTTCTCCCTTTATCCAAATTTCCCGCCATAATTCAAATTAATTTTCAATTCTAGTATTTATTTACCACAACGAAAAAGGAAATATGGTATTAATGTTAAGTATATAAATTGTATCAAATCGTTGTATTTTTAGAAAGAAAAATATTGATGATAGTAATACTAACGAAAGCCTTATTTCTGAATAATATGCCGGGCAATTATGACCGCCGAACACGTAAGGATTAATATGATAATTGTTAGTATAATAGAGCACGAACTATTGCTCTCTTATTTTTTTATTTGTTGTTAAATTATTTACGTGGCTACGAAAAGGAATTTGTTATACAATATAAGTAATTTTTAATGTTTACTTACACANGAAACGTGTGACGTATCCGTCCCCTCCAGTTACCTGAACTGAACCGCAACTCACTTAAAGGAATCGATTGGGGGATCGATTCTTTTAGATGAGTCGATTCTTTGAATCGATTCTCGATTCTTTTGCCCATCTCTAGTAACTGCCACAGAACCGCTTGAGCCTGTAAAACGAACAAAACACTAGTACAATTTTTGCGGAAGGATGAAAGGATGTTGCGTTTAGCCCGAGCATCCCCCATCATCTTTCCTTGCCAGCGAATTGCGATTTTCGGCCTGTTCTACGAAACAGTTTCCTTCCGCCCCGAGAAAGGCAACGACCTTTATTTGCTTTCCGTTTGACTACAAGTTTGAAAAGTTAGAAACCCGTTGTGGCTGTGATCGTGGCGGATCTGAGAGAAACAGCCCCAGGATGTAAGGATTCGACCTTACAGAGACCGGTATCTAGAACGTGACCCATAAACGTATGTATTAAAACCATGTGTACGTTTGCCCTTCCACGATCTTTTTAGATTTTTTCGTCGTTTTCACAAATAGATTTTAAAAGTTTACCGGTTGCGACGTGGTATTTCGAAGATGACCATCGCAAGTTATTACTAGCAACAGTGTTCCGATTTCACAATGTTTACGAAGCCTGAACTACGTTCTTTCATAGGGCAAACAGCATGACGTAAAAATTCCTTCATTTTTATTACAATCAATTTTAAAACCAACTTTTGTTAAAAGCTGTAAGAAACTTGTCGTTTGTGTGTTAAATATCCATACTGACCTATGCTTAAGGATGGTGCTGACCTAAATAACAGTTCCACACAAAACAGGTCGCTTTAAAAACCTGTTCATTCTAATTGAATAAACGAACTGTTCCACATTTATTTTTTGTACAGTTATCAGTAATTGGACTAAATTTTAGCTCTGCAATCGGAACTAGTTGAGTTAAAAGTTTTAAAAAGCCCGTAAAAATTATAAATTATTAGAAATTATTAGGGATTTCCGGTTTTAAATCAAGCTCTTAATACGATTTTAATTTTTAAAAGGCAGGCTTAAACTTAAAATAATTATCTGGCCGGGTTGAAGTTGCGTCGCGTGTGGAAACGGTTTCGGATTTGAAATCGAACCATTTAAAAGTTAAATCGCGAGTTTAAATTGGAAAAGAGAAAACCGCGGATGTGTCTAGAATGGAATCTGATTTCGAGCAAACTTTGTTGTTTCACGTGGGCTTTTTTTTAACACGGAAAGCTTGAATCCAAAGCTTGAAATAGATTTTAGCCACGGGTTGTTTTGAATCTGTGCATTCCACAATTCACCTCGGCATTTGGTTTAATAAATAAATGTGCTATCTTAAATAAGATTTCTTATTGAATGTAGAATTCGGGAATGATTAAAATAATAAAAATCCACGCAAGGTCGTTAGATTTAAACTTGTGTTAACAAAGACTGCCGTTGGCCTGTTCTAATTTCTAATTTTAGCAGTTTATCCCAGCATTCAACAAAACAGGCCGCTATCGACATTTTCCTATTGTAAATTGCAGCGAAATTTTTAATCAAAATTACACAAAATAATAATTATGCCTGATCAATACGATTTGGCCTTTCAAAAACATTCTCACGATTCAGCTTTAGACTTTTGATTTGCAAACTCTTGAATGTTCTTTCTTTTATACGTCACTCTGTCTTAATTTCATTCTTCAAATCATTAATAGTAAGTCGTGCAATTTTCATTTCTTAGAATTTTCACACAATTTCAATTCAATCAAATTCAATTTGCTTTCATAGAAAACTGCAATTTCTCTCAAATCTTTATTTTTACACTTATCAAGTAATCGTTTGGCCATGGGGTTCATGAATCATAAATGTTAGCAACCTTTGTGCTAAAGATACTTACATTTTTTCATCCAAGGCATATCTTAATTTTGCAATATAAAATCAAATATTTCAATTAATTATTCTTTTTATCTAAGATATTCATTGAGATGAAAAAGTTAGTGCCACAAGCAGGATTTGAACCATGACCTTCGGCCCAGTGTTGTCAGGAGTTGGTGTCCGACGGGATCAAAGTCATGATTGCTCAAGTGGCGTACCCAAGTTAGGTCTTGGGTTCGAATCCCACTTGTGACCTAGCTTTTTCATCTCAATCATGAAATCATACAAAAAGAATAATTAATTGAAATAATTAATATGGTCAATTATGACTGCTAATTCATAAATTAAAATTTCCCCACAAGAGCAAACCCATAGGACATTGTGCCTTAAAAAAAAAAGAAATGCAGTTTTTAGGACTTCCAGCAATTTTTAACATTAGAAAACACAATGAAGAAAGCGTGGTTGCAAGGTTTTTGCTAACCTCTCTTCACGTTAAGTCCCTGTCCAACCACAGACCCAACAGTTTGCAAGAAATTACACTTTTATAATAACTTTTTAGTGCAAAGAGTATTTCCTGGATTTACATGCATGTTGAGTGGAACCGTGCAATCATTTTCCTGATATCTCTGCAGAGTAGGAATAGGGAAGGCCTTAGAAGAGGCCTTAGGCTATTACTCAAATATAGTCATCTGCAAATTGATACAGTAGGCATTCTTTGCATTTATCCCCTTCAAACTATATACCAGGTCATTGACATACAAAATGAAAAAAGAACCCAACCCTGAGCCCTGTGAAATACCGCACTTTACCTCTCTCAGTTAGACTTCTTTATTTCCGACTAGTTGCCATCCGTATGAGAGAAAAGAGCTGCAGAAGTCGGCAACCACTCCTCTTATACCATATTGCCATAATTTATCTTTATGTACGTCTATGCAGTTCATGATTTACTGTGTCAACTGGATTGTTAAGATCACGTGTTTAACTTCAGTATGAGTTTATTTTCCAATGTTCAATATATACAGTTTATATCTTTAATAGCATATCCATACTGGCAATTACCCTAAATTGTGTTCTTTAATGAAGTTGCCCTCATAGTCGTGAATGTTGTTTACACAATTGTTTGATAGGATAGGTGTTACAGTAATAGGACAGTAATTATCTATCTCATCCTTACTCCATTGCCTTTGTAATCTGGCAGTTAACAGAACGAATTTTTAGCTCAACAGGAAAGGATGCTTTGTTTGAACAGAGGTTAATTATATACAAAATAGGGGGTTGCAATTTTAGTGTCAATATTGAGATAGAAATTGTGATCTTGACAATAATTCAACTCATGCCATAGTCCACACAGTCGGAATTTTTTAGATTCCTTATTATTGTCAAAGTTTCTACATCTGTAATGGGGCTAAAAATAAATACATTTTTCTATTGACACGTCATATCCAATGATGTCATGTTTTTTAATTTCTTTACCAGTTCCACCGGCTTGTTTGTAAAATAGTCATGCAAAAGTATCAATAAAGTAAATCCAGCAATTTACATTCCTTTGTGCTTGTTCTCTTAAATGTGTAATTACATAATTCACATGACTCATTATTGTTTTTTTAAACAATTTTTTAAACAATAAAACAAAATTTAACACATGCAGTGTAAAAGTTAAAGGGTAAACAGTCAATGAGATGTTCACTTGTTACTTGGACGGAAGTCTTGACATACACAAAAAAAAAAGTTTGAATGTATCAACTCTGTTGTACCGAAGGTTCTCAATGAACTTAGTTCAACTGTAGTTGATCGAAAAAGTTGAATTGTGAGAACATGCCTTTAATGAGTTTATTGGTAAAAATTTGTTCTAGTTTATGTTTGTTCTGGTTTGTTTTACATGATGCAAGCTGATAAACCCAAAATATTAAGAATGGTGAGCAATTATATTAATGGAAATAATTTAAAAAGTATTGATTGATAATGTAATAAAAATATACTTTTATGGCATTGGTTGTTCCTACTTTGTAACAACAATCATTCTTATTTATTATGTACTACTGTAACTCTTAAAAAAATGCTTGAATAATTTTGAAAAATATTTCTCTCCAAATGCGGATAAAAAAATCCATATGCTCATGTCTTTTGACGTTTGACTTAGAATATTTCATGAATTGTCTTGCTTTCAAATGAGTTCATGTGTAATTTCTTTTTGTCTAGATGGTTCAAACACATCTCGGATGCTGCAGATGCATACAAACAGAGGGAAGGAAAGAACAGAAGGCCGGAATTGGATACTTCCGACACTGCCAATGACAAATGTGAAAAAGAGAAAGAGTGAGTATTTTATTTTATTTTTTTAAATTATGCTATTATCCTTATAAATTTGTAATGTTTAATGTTAAAAATAAAGTTATCTATTTTAATTTATACAGTTTAAAATTTGGTTGAATATTTTAACTTGATGTACTTATTTATTGCTATTCAATTAACGTAAGATATGTGAACCTATCCGTCGAAATATAGTCATTTTCAATTGCCTGAACCCAGTAAACCAATCTTTTGAGGTAAACAGTTTCAATCAACTTTTCCTTTCACTTTAGATTTCAATGTTTGACCTAGTAAAAAGATACCTTTGGGCTGGAAGTGATAATCCAAAAGGGCATTCATTTTTTTAAGTATGTGTTGTCAACCTGCAGGAGATGGTTTTTCAGTTTATCCAAGCTATTTAATTATGCCCAAACATTGTGACTGTTCGGCTGGGGGAAAGAAAAAAAAAAATATATATATATATGTTTTATTGTTCATTTCTTACCCTGTTGATCAATAACTCCTTTGAAATCTATCAACACACTGGTTTGTCTTGGTATTAAAAAAGGAAAAACCTGAGTTTAACTGGTTTTACACTCTCCAACTTGGCGTGATAATATTGGAAGGAACGTTTTCTAGCTTTTGCACAAGTTGCGGTTTAAGGCAGTGTAGAACAATTCTAATTGACTTGCAAGTTGCTTGTTCAAAGTTCAACAGCCCCAAATCAGTCTTGATTTAAATTCTATTACAAAGTTCTTGTCTCCTTTCTGGGTCGTTAAAATATTTTCGACCAACTTTGGTAGGTTTAGCCCTTTTAAAATAATTTCATTGATCTAAATTTTGTACTTAGATTGTAAAAATATTATTAAAAAACATGTAACAACTTCATAATGGCTTTTCTATGAACGAGGGGGCAAAAAATGCACAGATTTTTGTTACAGTGTACCATTTTTAATTTGCACCATTTTCATTGTCCTGGATATGTTTAAGAATAATTGTATCGACTAAAATTTCAGCAAAAATATTTACAAGTACACATGAGAACAAAGGTTTGAAATTAGCTCAAATCTAAACATATAGAAAATGTGGGAAAAAGTGGGAAAATTCGAATGGTTGTAGGTTGAGATGAGGAGTTGGTAGATCCATAGTTCAACCAATAGTCCTCCGAGTAGATTGAAGTCCACGATAGCTCAATTGGTTAGAGTAGCGGCAGATTGAGTCGAAGGTCGTGAGTTCGAATCCCACTCATGACACTAACTTTTCATCTCAACCAAGACCTTAGATAAAAAGAATAATTAATTAAAATATAGAAAAACCTTTATTATCTGTTCAATTGGTTTAATAAATCTACTTACTAACTTTTGTAATAACATGATCCAAATATGTAATAGTAATAATTTATATTAATTCATAAGTTATAAATCACTTTAATTAAGTAAACATCTACTATTGTTTCTATTTTAAATTTATATACAGGAGGTTAATATTTAAGTTCTTTATATGTACTTCAGAGTTAGCTTTTATCACAGGAGTATTATAAAATTTGTAATTAATTGCATTATTAAGAAACAATTTAAATGGAATTTATTCTAAACACCTGCAGAGGAGATGACAGCCTTGAAGGTGCTTGTGGTGGTGAATTGCTCTCTCCTCCAAAATCTTCCAACGGGCCTGAAAATAGTCCGAGCGGAACACCGGCCCCATCAACACCACCCACACCTCAACCCGGCTCGCCTGCTCTTACCACATCAAAATTAGGTACAATTTCAAACCAACTTGCATGAATTTTTTCAGTAATGCATGCATAACAAAAGCCTTAAGTACTACACCGTTAGGTGATTTTAGATTTACGTAGTTATTTTAAATGACTTGGTTCATTTCAGTTTGAGATTATTTATTAAAAAAAAAAATCAATATCTAGTTAACATTACTCAAGCATGCAATCCTTTCTCTATTAAATTTGTGGATGGTGCCTTTAAGACCGGTACTAACACGGAAATACTACTTACAACTCTCAGATGGTGTATCGAGTGGGAACGAGAGGAAAACAGATGACATACAAATCGCATCATATGCATCGTTTTCATCAGAGACGACTCTGATCGATCCTGGGGAGGTCATCGTCTCGAGCCGGGATGTACTAACTGCCGAGCCAGTTCTTACACCCTTAGGTACATCTTTTCTCTCAAATAAATAACTCCCTTGAAAAAAACAGCTTTACTAACCCATTTATCCATTGGGTAAATTGTAGCTACTAATTATTTAAATAATTTTTTCAAAAAGCGTACATGAAATGTAATGCATATATGCATTGCTACATTTTCTCAATTTTTGTGAATTGTGTTTTTATGAAAATAATTTACAGAGAAACTGAAACGAAAAGATGAATTAGTACGGAGGACGTTATATGAAAAACAAGCAATAGTCGCTGATATCCTTCATGTACCACGGGAGGAATTCGACAACATCGTCGAGCTTGCTGGTGAGCCTGCTATTGATAAAGAGCCATCAGAATTGGTCTTAGCAGCAGTCAGCCAAGGTAAAAACTAAAAATTATACCTTTTAATATTGGATATTAATTTTTATGTTTCATTTTAGTTCATGAACTGACACTAGTTATTAATGAAGCACTTAAAGTGACTGAGGAAGAAACAGTAGCCTTGACAGCCGAATCAGGAACGGGTACCAAGTTGGCAAGGCTTCCAGGCATACCTGCGTACAAAGTTCAAGGCATTGCATCCTCATTGACCACACAACTTTCACAATTACTTGTAAGTACAGTTAAAAATGTCTGCTAATGTTTTAACATGTTAATTACAATAAAATCGTTGTCTTTAGAGCATAATGGTAGAAAGAGATGAAGAAAGGGAGAGATTAAGAAGGGAACTTCAAAAGTCTCGAGAACAGCTGCATGCACTACATGAAAAATATGACCAAAATGGACCAAGTATGTACAATTTTTTTATTTTATTTTATTTTTTTAGCGTTGAATTTTTACATATTAACTTTGTCTTAGTTAAATTAGAAATCTGGTTTTTGATAATTCCAATTAACAATATTACAACCATTTAGTAATGATATTTTGTTTTTAACATTTATTTTTATTTGCTTGGTAGAACAAAACAAAATGTCAATGGGACTTTACAATTTACTTTGAATTTTTTTCTTCAAATAAATGTTTGTCTGTGAGCATGTTTTTCTCATATAAAACTAGTCACCAAGCATGATTAGAATCTGTATTCATCAAAATATTCTATTGACATAAGCAATACAATTAAGTCTTTGCATAAAGGCTGCTTCCACATAACAATTTGCCTCTTGTACCATTGCCTTACAAATTTGTTAAAACAATATATTCAGTTTTATTACAGTTAATAAAAAATGATAAATATTATAACATTCAAAAATGAATTTATAAATGATGCTTGATTTAGGTGTTAGACATTTGCAATACTAGAACTTAGTATCAATTTTTTTTCTCCGGCAAGGCAAATTGCACTATTTAGCAATCAAATCACTCACGTTTTATTATTACGTTTATTATTTTATATAAGTAAACAGCTTGTTTGCTTGTATTCAGTTGAAATAGTTTTATGATCTTGATAGTTAGGAAAAGACAAATTTTAATTCATTATTTATTATTTTTATTACTAACATAAGCATGAGAGAATAAAGTATTTTTTAAGAATTTTTGTTGATTGAAGTAGTTTAGTGCATGTTTGTGTCATGTTTGTCCAGGAAACAATGAAAATGAAAAGGAGGAAACAGCAGAAATTCTAACAGAACCGCATTCACCACACGAGGTAAATTGTTCACATCTTGATCTGTGATTTGATCCACAAAACTTACAATTATAGCTTTTATATTAAATTTATTGTTAATCTGTTTTGTTTTGAATGTTCAAATTCTTTTTGTTTTACATTAAATAGAATTTTTTTTTATGAACTGTAAGAAATCTATCTTGGTTGTGATAGAACGTAGAAAAATATTCTGATTTTTTTTAAACTTTATTGTTTTTGTTTGTTTAATAAATGAATTTTATTTTATTTCATTGTTTCTATTCAAGTTTAACCCATTCGGAAGAACTTGTTTGTTTTGGGGATGTATGTTCAATGTTTCATTTTTAGAGGTGATGATACTTTTTGATGAGGATAAAATTAAGATCTTATGGAAGTCTGCCGTAGTTGGTGATTTCTGATCCTCCTAGTCTGCTTAGCATCGCTGTTTTAGTCTGTTAGCCATTTCTTCTCTTATGGTGACTACATAGATAACCTGTAGTTTTGTCATTTTCAATCCTATACGGACAAAAAAAACCATTAGAGATGAAGAAATGCTGAAATGCGCTTGGCATACTGAAACATTGAAAAAATGCAGACCACAATGATAGAAAAAGGCCAATGGATAAAATTAAGTAGTGAAATTTCGTCTAGTGATCTCCAGGGTGATGAACCTATAATTTGATAGCTACCTATCAGCCTGATCTTGTCTTTCGGACATGTTCCGCATTTTGCCATTTTCAGTGTTGAGTTTGGGTGATTTCTGTGGTGTGGTTCACCCAACACTCATCATTGGAATGATTACAAAATGTTTGGAAAAAATAGAATGAAACTATTATAGCAAACTTTTATATAGCATGCACAATCCGTGTTTATACGGACATTTTTTTTTTGTTTTAGGTGTTTGTTGATGCGTTATCAGGGGAAGCAGAAACGGCCCTTGAAGCAACAGAATAATCAATCGTGTATATGTGATGAAATAATTTTGGTCTCTGTACAATTCGATTGTAATCACAAGAAATCTATTTTAAATGTTAACCTGTTTCCCTTCCCATTTCTCCCACATGTCTTCTACGAACCTGACATTTCATCATTTGTCAATTGTGTATATTGTTGTATGTATTATATGCTAATTTTTATTAATATTTTATATTTATTGATAGTGGTGATACAAGATCACTAGTTGTAAGAAGTGAAATTCCCCTCTTCCAGAATGTGTCAAAACAATTGTTTTGCGAATATGTATAATTATGTGTATAAGTGTTTCCAGTACACTTGCTCCCGTAAAAATAACGTTACCACTAAGGCCCAGGTTTAGTCAAGCGGATTAAAGGAATATGTTATTATTTTCATCCTTAAAGAGGCACCTAATAAATACAGTTTTATAATTAATTACTTAGTTTAACTGCTTGACTAGCCCTCAGTCTGTTAAGTGTTCCCTTGGTGCTCTTATATTCATTTTGGGGCCTAAAATAGCAAAAACCGCCCTGTATAAAATAAATGTGTATAATTAAAAGTGAAATTTAGCAATTTCTTTTTGCTATTTCAACATTGTGTATAGTTAATATATTATATATAATAACAATTATTATTGTTAATATATTTGTTTAAGTATTGATTCTTAGGTTAAAGAATGCAATTCACTTATTCAAGGGAGGTATCAGTAATCAAATATTATTTGTTATTACTTTGTTTAGATAAATTTATCACTTTGTTACTAGTATTTTTTCTTTTTTTGTAATAAATTTATTCTTTCCTTTTGAAATTGATTTAGAGGCTAACAGGCCGTTTATTATTACGTAAAATTATTTATTAACAGCACGTTTCTTTCTTCCCCTATAACTGTGGATTATAAATTAATGTTCTTTGTATATAATCGGTGTTAATTTGTTTGTAATAATTGTTAAAAGTTGACTAAAACATCGATTTAAATTTTCATTTCGAATCCGTTATTTTTGTTCATGTTGCACGTGTAAAGGTCAGGGTTTTGCAATCTTGGAAGTCAAGAGTAATGAGTTTTGGCATTGAATTATTCTATCTGTGGGCACGTTGAAATAATTTCAATTTAAACAAAAGCAAACATTCCGAAACTTTTTATTTTGAAATGAAACATTTAAATATTTATTTATTTGAAACCTCCCCCCTCAAACAATTAAATCATGATTTTTAGTATTTTTATTTTCAATTTTGAACTATAGAAAATGTGTAAAGAGCATTAGTTGATTTTAATTGGCTTCCTCCCAATTTTGAAAATGGTTTTATGTATACAAATACACACACATATCACAGCCTAGTTTATTGTACATGCTTGTATTTATGTACCTGAACTCCCAAAGCTTATCTTATGCTGTGCTTTTCATATATATATATATACGGTAATATGTATGAAAATATCGTCCAAATGTTTGTTAAAAAAAGGGATTTTAATGGAAAAAAAAACTATATATATAATCGAGCTTTATAAATTCAATATAAAGAAATATTTTTACACAATGTTTTTATTTTTTCCCTTGAATAGACAAAATTCATAACAAATTAGTTAATTTTAATTGCATTTGTGAAGCATTTCTCAAGTAGGGTGGAGATCTAATTTAGATTGAAATAGGTTGAAGATGATTGTATTAACTATTCCATTAAAAATCTAAATATTTGCTTTGTGATATGAGTTTAATTATTTTTATTAATTTCTTATACAAAAAAAAAAAAAAAAAAACCGAATATATATTTTTATAAACAATAAAATATCCAGTTTTGTTTGTTTTTTGTTTTGTCCATTTTCATTTTTAGATTATTTTGTTTTGAAAATTATCCTATTATATGTAAATCATTTCTTATTGATATTTTTGTATATTTGTAAATAGTCAATTTATTTTTGGCATTTGACATGCTCATAACACTGTGATGACATATTTGTAATCCGATCATTTTTCATTAAGTGTTTCCAAAGCCCTTGATTAAAACAGCATTCAATGACTTTTATGATCGTTCTTTAATTATATTGTTTAACTCATAGAACAATTATCAAAGTTAATATAATTATAATTGTATAATAACTCCACATTATTGTTTGATGTGCATTTGCGTATCATTTAGTAAATAGATGTAACTAACTGGATTTTACATGTATTGTCAAATCTCAGATGTCAAAAAAAACACTAAAATCTTTTAATGAAATAACAAATTCATTCCAAAATAATTCTAAAAGGATGTAAATAATGGTAATTACTTTGTAAAAATTGTTTAACAATTCTCAATTTTCTTTGATTGATCATAATTTGTGTAAACATAAGATTTTTTGGTTTGTGTGACACAGAGAACAGGCCTAAATGTAATAGCAAATTATTGTTTCTGTTTCATGAGAGGATCTATGTTAGTCAATAAACATGTTGCAAAAAATAACAGTATCTCTTTTTTTACATTCTTTTTCATTTGATAATTAAGAATGTAAAACTGACCTGATTGCAAATATTCAAAAGACAGTTTTATGACTGCAATAATGATTTGAAATAAAAGATTTGAACTTCACATAAGCCTTGTTAGTAGTCATCGTTGTGGTAGACATGCTGAATGTTGGGGTTTTTGATGTTTAAAAACAACCAAGCATAGCTTTATATTTCATGCATTTTTGAAGTCCTAGCTTAGAAGAAGAACAAGAAGTCTGCCTCTTCAACCTGGGCACTGTGACCAGTATTGAACTATTGCACATTTCCATTGTTATCTAGAGCTACTCATTAAGCTTTTTTAAAATTTATTAATGGCCTTATGAACTCGCATATTAGCCAGAGTATGTATATTTGTTTCATCATATATACATACACTTTATAAATATTTCATATATTCGCAGATGCAAACGCCTTTGTGGGAAAAGTTGGGGACTGAATTCAAAGACGTCCCTAAGGCCATACACAGTGGGTATGGTACATGATAACCTACAGGTCAGTGTTTTGGCGGACAAAGACATTACAGCTAAGTGTGGTCAAGATCCTCAATATTGCTTAGAGACTGGCGAGTCTGAGCATCACTGGGGCAATGAGAACCCCCCCCCCCACACAGCTGCTCTGGAAGTATTGAATCTACCACCACTGGGAGAGGCCAGAGCCACAATTCATAGGCAGGACAGGCTACAATAGCCTACTCACATAACAAGGAACAAATAAAACTGAGGGGAGCTTCAGCTAGACAGAATTTTGGAGATTCCTGCTGGTTCCCCTAAATTCAGTTCTGACCTATATATACCTGACCGGGCCAGTGCTCGTCCCAGTGTGCTTGATATTGCTCTCGCATCGCGGATCGCAGAAACTAACAGCAGAACTACTAAATCTAGGACATGCTAGAACTAGAAGAATAGTTTGACTGCTGTATGGACACTGCAGAATCTGGAAGCATATATACAGGGTGTTCGGCTACTTGTGTTACAAACTTTGCCAGTAGAATACAAATGGAACTAAAAAGTCTTAATTAACTGTGGTCTGAAGTCCAACAGTTTCGATTTAGGTGGTATGGTCAAAAATATCCATGAAGTATTATAGCCCATTATCATTCTCATAAAAAGAAATAAATTAAATTTTAGTAATTTTTATTTGTATATACATTTTTAAAATATTTTCTTATAAAATGAAAAAAAGAAAAAACAAAAATTCTGTTGAAGGCAACTTTTTAATAGATTTTAAGCTTTTCCAATTGGTGGATAACTAAACAAACTGTATGACATTAATTATAAGGCCACAAAATTTACAATAATTTTTTTTATTTACATCTTTACTTGATCTAAATGAAGTTTTCTTAAACTTCATTATTTTTTCTGTAAATTTACATTTGTGATATTGTTTTTTGTCCTACTGAGAATCATTTATTTCAAATATTTAAAAAAAGGAAAAGAATAATTTTTTTTTATTAAGGTACCAATGGAACAGTAAAATTTTGATTTTTACAATTTCTGTCTGCTATTTGTCACGTTATCCACCACCGCCACCCAATTCATCTTCATATTGCTTCCTGAAACAGTCTCCGACTGGGAAGAAGTCCCAACATCTCTGTTGATACATGTTCCAAACGTATGTCTCTTGGCCTGTATATTCAGTATCCGGTTTGTTGATTAGATGCATAAGAAAGAACCTGAAGAACAAAATAAATCGTAAATACCAAAAGAATTAATGACAATTTGATTGTGACTCACATGTAATTTGCCAAATTATGCTCCTGCTGGACGTGAGTGTCAAAACCGTGTGGTACTTTATCAAAATAATCCTTTCCTATGCCGCATATGAAGCAGTTGGATTCCATGTCTTCTTTAACACTCTCCAGTTGATCTCTTAGCTCTCCAAAAGCATCAATGATCAAACCTGAAAGCGATAAATTGGTAATTTTCTTTTTGTCTGGTTGTCATAGTTTTTAATGATTTTACCCTGAATAATAGCCAAAAGAATGACAATAACGAAGAAGAAGAATGTGATGTCGAACATGATTCTATAAACTTCATAATCATCGCCATCAGGGGGCTCAATTTCATCACCAATACCACCACCGGCTCTTACACCTTTGTATAAATGGAAGACAAAACACTAAAACATAAAACCTCATTACTTTAAATAAAAAAGATGAATAGCCAATTTTTAATTACAGTCATCATATCGTGACATTTTTTGTCTACTTCGTCCTCCTCTTCTTGGACATAGAATTTTCTGAAGAAGTTGAAAGCTATCACAGTATAGATATATACGATAATCGTCAACAACATGACTGTGAGGACAAGCTGAAACATTTAACCTCCTTAGTACATGAAGGCTAAAATACTAAATTTGACCAACCTGTTTTCCATTGTGCGTTACAGACTGCAAGATCGTACGCAGTGTCTTAAATCCAACAGCAACATCGAGCAAGTGAGCAGCAAAGAAAAAGTTATTGAAGTTGCCAAGGATTGAGAAAATGAAGTAGAAAAAACTGTACAGGAAGGCCTGAAAATACATCACACAATAAGTGCTTATATTACATAATTAAGAAACATAAAATATTTCATGTGATACTAGTTACTAGTAAGGGGCACCCAAATAACCTACTACGGTGCTTCCCACACGAGTACACGGACCTCTTCGAGGTCTGCAGTGAACATTGAGAAAAATTTATAGTTACAAAAATAAACGAAGAATGAATAAATAAATTTAAAAAAGTATCAACAATGAGTACTGAAAACAAAAGTTTGTTATTTTGCAGCAGCAGTCGTGTTCTCCACAGACATACTTTAGCTATGAAACAAAGCCAGCCTCTTTAAAAAAAGTTTTATATGAGTTCAAAGTTTTAATTATATCAGGCGACGGTTGAAGTCAAGACTTTTCAGCAGTACAATGTGACAATATGGAAAGCCTTCATTATGCTCTGCTTCTCCACACAGATGTGAGGTGGCTGTCTTGTGAGAAAGCACTTTCACGATTTTAGGAATTACGTTCTGAAGTCTCATCTCTGTTTACGGACCACAATGTCAAATTGGTCAAAATTTTTAATGATGAGAAAAGCCAATGTATACTGTTGTATTTATCAGATATTTTCATTAAAATCAATGAGATGAGTCTTTCTTTGCATGGGAAGAGTACCACAACTTTCGATGCTAATAACAAAGTTTGCTCTTTCAAAAGAAAAATCCAGTTTTGGGTAGAATCGGTTGAGAACGAAAAGAGAGGTGGGCTGTTTTCCTGTGTTAAATGATATGGTTTTAAATTACACAAACTGGAGTAATGGTAATTATTATATTAATCCATGGATGTCTAATAGACATAATTGACTGAGTTAATTATTTTAATTTATTATACTTTTTTAACTAAGGTCTTGGTAGAGATGAAAAAGTTAGTGACACGAGCGGGATTCAAACCCCATTTAGCTCAGTACGCTGCTGCTCTAACCTCTTGAACTATTGACTTGAGATGAGGAGTTGGCATCCGAGTGGATTGAAGTCATGATAGCTCACGATTGAGCCAAAAGTTGTGAATTTGAATCCCGCTCATGACACAATCTTTTTCTTCTCAATCAAGACTTTATATATAAAAAAGTATAATTAATAAAATTGAATTAATAATACTATTAATAAAGGTTTTTAGTTGAGATAAAAAAAGTCAATGGCAAGAGCGGGATTTGAACCCACGATCTTCGGCTAGATACGCCGCTGCTCTACCACTTGAGCTATCGTGACCTCGATCCACTCGGACTCGGATTTTGGTGTCAAATAGACGAAATGACAAAAAGGAGGGAAAATTCAAAAGCTGGGGTTGAGATAGGAAGTTGGTGTCCGAGTGGATCGAGGTCACGATAGCTCAAGTGGCAGAGCAACGGCGTATCTAGCCGAAGATCGTGGGTTCGAATCCCGCTCATGCCATTGACTTTTTTATCTCAACTAAAAACCTTAATTAATTGTAATATATTAATTAGTCAAGCGGACCATGAAATTAGTGAAATTAATAATGCTGTTGACCCTGGTACTAAGGGAAAAAAACAAAACAAGTCTGTTGCAAGAGTTTTTCAGAAGCAAAAACCTAGTTTAAGTGGGCAAGACTGTTTCATTTTATTTGGCATAACAGTTGATGATTCTAATTCCACTGTGATTAGTAGTAGTAGTAGTAGTAGTAGTAATTATCCACGTATCAACCTCACATGGCCTAGTCTTAATTAGGTGAGGATAATCCCTTTTCTGATACTAATATTACTGATCCAACTGTCTCTTTTGATCATATTTTTGATCGAAGTTTTCACATATGGGGTGCGATCTGATCACCATTTGATTGTGGTTCAGCATTGGGGGTTGGAATGTCCTGGTATTAGCCGCCTTGTCACCTATTCATTGTGTTCCAGACCTACATGTGTGTGGACAAACAACACCATTTTAATGACATGCTACAGTTCATAGTATCACTCCAACAAGAGCATGATGAGGGGGGCCCATGGAGGACCTTTCATGGGCAGCAGTATGTCATTAATCACCCCAGGCTAGTGCCAGATTATATATGATTCTGCCGTGTAAATAAAGTGGACATGATACAGTAAAGATAAGGCAAAACATGGTGTGAAAAAGTTCCAAATTCTTAGCAGGTATGGTGAGGTAAACAACTTGGCTGAAGAAAAGCCATTCAACCTTAATAATTATAATAATAATAATAATATAATAATAATAATAATAATAATAACAATAAATATTAATTATTGTTGTTGTGTTATTGTTGTAAGTAATAATTTCTAAAATTTGTAGGCAGTTGCATATTAAATAAAACAATAATTGTACATGTTATTTCACTCACATTATCAGTGATCGTGACTCCTGCTTTCCATAATTGATATCTCCAGTCAATATTCAAAATGCTGAAATGATGAATATTTAATGAAATAATTGTATTAAATCATTTTCAATCATATAAGAAACAAAAAACTGACAAGTGTACAAATCCTGATCCTTCTTCTTCTTGTGAGCTGAATGATGTTTTTTCCATTCCGAGAAGATTGCTTATTGAATCAAAATCATAAGTTTCGCTGTACTTCTGTCTGACCTTCTTCTTTACAAATTTATCCCAGTAGTTTACAGGAAATGATCTTAAAATAAAATATAAAAAAAATCGTTGAATTTTACAAAGCTTTAAGACGTGGATTGTTCATCGTACTTAGCAGAAATGACGAGTTTATCCCAATGTGATTTTATATCGTCGTCTTCTGGCTGTTCGGCAATGAAAAGGCCATCAAATTCCAGCCTTCTCGCGATTTCCTTTTCCCTTTTAAATATGGCCAAAGGTACTTTGAGATGATAGTAAGCTATTAGCATAGCGAGTGATACCAAAGAGTGGAGAAGAGCAGCTAGCCTCATGACATGCTCCATGTAAAAGAAATCTTCGTTGACATGAACAAGCTCAAGTGGGTCTTCGTCTTCTTCGCCGCTACCACCCCCATCACTTCCTACTCCACTGACATTTTCCACTTCACCGCTTTTCGCCTCTCCGCTTAATTCGACTAAAAGTTCCTCCATTGATTTGGCCGCAGAAGCAGCTCCACTTCCACCATCATCTTCATCCTCTCCTAACGTTGTCACCTTTATAAATGATATAATTAAAATCTGTTCAAATTGTAACGGGGAAGGTTAGAAAATAATGTTGGTTTATTGAATAAACTAAAGGAGAACTGTCACAATTTATACAGTCCAACATTATTTTTTGACCAACCCATTATTTAGAGCAGTTTAGAATGGTACCTTGTAGAAAAGTAAAATGAAATTGATGCAGAAGGCCAAAACAAGAGCAACGTATTTCAAATTGTAAAAGTTGCGAGCAAGAAAGCTGACAGCCCTGTGAGTATATTTGTTGAAATCAATCTGAAACAAATTTAAATCTGATGAGTAATTAAATTTCTAATGTATGACGAACACTATACAACATATTGTGAACTGCATAAATTACAAGTTCTAATTACTAGGGTCAAATTCCCAACCATATCTAAAAAAGGGTTGTTTTCTTAAGTTTTACTTTAATATACAGAGGAAGAAGAAGAAGAAGTAAGGGATACAGCATTGCAGGGGTTATAAACATTGTGCATTAAATTTCCATGTTTCCTCAAAATTACATCTTACCTCATCTAACCGATGTAATTTAGTTTTCTTTAAAATTTTTGGTGTAGGTTTACATGATCCTAATGACTGCATGAAATGCAATAACACGAATGATTTGGAAGTTAAACAACTCAATTTTTTTTTTTTAGAAAAAATTAATGATAGGAATTTCTCACACCTGTGATACTGCAGAAGGTTCACTGCTAACTTTTTCTTGTTTCGATTCGGCATCAAATGCAGCCATAACTGCTTCTTGTTGGGCAACGACTTCTGCCGTTTGAGCCGCTTCTTTCCGAGCTGCCTCACCACTAAAAAAAAAACAAACAAATCACTAAAATATTGAAGAAAATTTAAATTGAAATGTATTTACCCCAAGATATCAGCAAGAGTAATTTGTTGCTCAGGGACCACTTCCGATTTTTCTCCTTCATCTGTCTTCTCGCCACCTTCTTCTGTGCCTTCTCCTCTCCCTTCAATTGCTTTTGGCCTGTTTTGCAAAATTTAGAGTAAAATAAAGTTACTTCTGCTCTCCTTCACTTCTAACGATGATTTGTGTTATTAAGTTACTTACGGTTGACTCCCTTCTTTGGGAACGTCTGGCGCTGGTGGAGGACTTTCTTCTGCAGGAGGTAGTGCTGGCATGAGCCGCAAGTGATGTTTTTCTTCCTCTTTCACCTCAACTACAGGTTCTTCTGCTTGCGGGCCAGACATAAGCGAATAAATGATACCACCGATATACCTACATATATAAAATTAATTTGTTACTCTTCTCAGTAAAACTCATCATAAAAATATAATTGTTGAAATCACAATTACTTGAGAACTAATGACACGCCATAACCAGAATAGTAGAAAGCGTAAAAGTACAACTTGAAAAAGGCGACAACAAGTTCCAACACAGTCATCTGTTGCATTTCTGCAATTTTTGCCTTGATATTTGCAGGCGACAGCATTGAAAAGAATGCACCTACACCGTCTTTAATCGTCTGCCAAGCTCGCTTCAGAGGAGATTTTCTATTAAAAAAAATATATATCAAAAAAAGAAATTTTTTTTTTTTAAATAAAAGAAAAATGTAAACGCACCTTTCTTCATCTTCATCACCGATATAAGAATAAGATGTTTTCCGTCGTTCTCCTCCTCCACCAGAGCCATCATCAACAGCCATCAAGCCACTGGCATGAGTCATTTCAAAAATGGCATCTTCACAAAAGTTAACGAATGCCTCTAGCTTCTCTTTGTCTCCTCCCTCAGTGACAATTGAATAGAAAAACGCTCTCTTTGATTCTTTGATCTGCGGCTTCTCCCACTGCTCGATGTTGGATTCTTTGATCTCAAAATATACCCTCTCAATACGTTTGCTGCTACCCATGATTTCAATGCGACCGAGGAATGGCTCAAAGTAGTTCAGTACACTACCAGCTGTCTCCAAAAACCGGGCCAATCTAAAACAAATCAATTAGATTCTGTAAAATTTAACAGAATGAGAATTCCATCTACCTAGGCTCATTTGGCATGTGTTCAGATAAATTTGTAAGAAGCACTGCAAGATTAAAACCAATTTCTTTTGACGGCTCATGGAATCTTTCTGTGAATCCGACATAGTCGAGTTTGCCATCATGATTTGTCTCACAGCACTGAAGCATAAATTCGATCTCTTCCCTAAAAAATAATTTTGTCAGAGAAATTCCTTTTAAATCAGATATCTAATAATGATAGTCAACTAACGGAGTGTAGCTCTTCTGTTGTTCCATTTTTTCTTTGAAGTCTTTAGGCATAACCCAACCTTCATGATTTGGATCCAATTCCTAGATTAAAAGAAAAAATTAGTGGTAAAAGATTCAATGAGAATATATTTTTATAGTAGTAAATTACCAGAAAACTGGGAGAACTTGTGAGGTCAGCCAGTTTAAGGAACATGTCAAAGTATTTCAAAATCAACTGAAAAACAAACAAATTAGGTTATGTTTTGTAGAGATATCATAGCATCTTTGACAAGTTTTGCTTTTTGAAAATAGAGAAGAAATAACATAATTTTAAGGCTTATTGATAGTTAATATTGAAATATATATAATCTGAAAAACTGTTCTTTTAAATGCAAATATTAAACATTCAAACTTTCTTACCTCAACATTGGATGCGGATTCAACCAAGGTGTCAACCATCTGTTTTCCAATCGTTCCATTGACGACATTTCCTATTTATTTTAATATAGTAAGTAAACTTTACATGAAATATTTATGTACAATAATCAACTATTTTTACTACCTTCAAGCATGGACAGCATCATGGTGATCATGTCCTTCTGAAGGTTGAGCAACTCTTTAAGAAGGTCGACCTGACTAGTGTGCTTTGAGAGTTTGTCCTGCATGTGCGAAAAGAGGAAGAGGAAACCACCAACAGCATCCCACAGCCTGGAATGTGCCAGCGCCTGCTGATTTTGGGTACAAGGCCCCTGGATGACTTCAGACAGTGTGTTGAACACTTGACTTGCCACACCGATAGCTTTGAAGAAGTTTGCTTTTCCGGCAGGATCAATGAGCTCTTTGCTCGAGTAGTGCCAATAGAAATCCATGATTGATTCCTGGAGGCGAAGAAGATAATCTACTGTGCAAATAACAACATTGACTGTCGTCGTATTTCCTGCTTGTGTCCTGAGATAATTTTGCCATTCTGAAAATTATTAATTCAAAAATAAAGATTGAATAAAATAAAAGATATAACAGAAAAATAAATATCCTAATTACCAAGATTATGGCCTTCACAGGTGAGTTGGATGAACCGGAAAAGGGTGCAGGTGAATTCAGCATCGTGCATATTTTTCTCACCTGCAGCACCTTCTGATCCGACTCCAAGACCCTCAGCTTTGGTGTTTCTTTCAAAAGCATCTAGATCCAAGACACTACAAATAAAATATTATGAATATAAATAATTAAGTTTTTATTTTTTTTATTTTTAGACCTGCATGAGTTCATTAATCCGGCAATGGATGTGAAAAATCCTACATCTTTTTTCTCCTTCAAATGATTCAACATGCCCTGCAGAAGATTCAATATAATATATCTGTCCTAGCACTCTTTCTACACAAATTAATATACCATTTGTATATCAAGGTTGCCTCCTCTAAGCACTGAAATTCCTAGATTCAACGTTTTCTGCACCATTTCACTTGGTACTCCTTTGCAGGCTGAAATGTGGAGAAGAACCATCTCGGCGACTCCTCTGTTCGCCAGCCTTGCTTGGTGAAATAGCAATTTCTGCTTTTCCATTTCTTGTTCCTGAACAATATTTTGTATTAAGATTTTGTTTGACTGATTTAATTTTAATATTGGTCATTATTTATTTTAATCTTAACTTACTACGAGTTTTGCCATTGTTTTCTTTGAAAGCATTTAACAAACCTTTTCTTACAAATTGTAATAATATTTAAATTTTGTATTTAGTATGATAGAAAAAATTTACTTACATGAATAGAAGCGCCTCCTTCTTCTTCTCCGCCTTCTTCATCGCCACCTCCTTCTTCCTCTTCTTCACCACAAGATCTAAACCATATTGTGATAAACTTAATTAAAAATAAAAAATGTTATTAACTGATTTATTCAACCACTGATTAATTTTGTTCATCTTATACTCTTTGAATGGATTCCTATGTGCTTATGCACACTTCTCATCCTCATAGTTGTACTTCACTGGAATTTAAAGTTAAGAGACTTCTTTTTTAAATCACAAGTCTCTTCTATCTTACAAGCTACTGCTTTTTCTATCATGTTTAATGTCATACAACTGCAACTTTAGTACTACATCAAAGCCAGCCTAGTATGAAGTTAAAAGCCCATAACTGAAAGAAACTTGATTTAAGCCTGAACTTTAAAAGTGACTACAGTAACACAACTACAATGCACAACCCCCTCACATTTTTATTATTCATATAATACTAAGGTTATTCAAAAAGCTGACATTGTTGTCCATGTGGAGAAGCTTAAAATCAAGAATCAAATTATACAGATGTTGAAAATAACTAAAGAGAAATAATTTAAACTACAAACCCAAAACAAACAAAAAGAAATCCTTATGGCAATTAAAAAATTACTGTACATAAACTAAAAAGTAAAGAATAAGACATTAAAAGGAATTTTCCTTTTCCAAATGCTACGCATCTAACATAAATACAATAAAATTCATTCAAGATTAATATTAAACCAACTCACTTTGCAGTGATTTCAGCGTATGACATGTACAGTGGGTCTTCTTGAAGCGCTCCACTTCTTTCTGTCATGGCACCTCTGCAGAAAGTTGTTACAAGTTGCGTCAATGGGTCTGGCTTGCCTTCTTCTTCTTCTTTTTCCTGCTTCTTCAACTCCGCGTCTTCAAACGATTGCTTAACAAAACAAACGATACAAATTAACTTTTGTTTTCGCATCGTAAAACAACACTTAATACTTACAGTCAAATCTTCAATCATAACTTCTTGTCCAATATTTTCTTCTTGGAGCCAAAGATCGCAGTACGTTCTTGCAAAAATGTTCACCACTTTATGCCTGAAACAATTTACATATAAATAAATAGATGTACAGTTTAAAACGATAGTTTATAATGCGTATGGCATGGATCTGTCAGCGATGTAATAATATTAGCTAACCTGGGCAATAAATACAATGGGTGCGTTCTGAGACAAGCTACCGCTGCCCTTTTCCTCGCAGCTGACAAAACCCTCTTCCATGAAGATTTGTGTGGTGGTCGTATTTTGGCATGCTGTTAATCGCCCAAACAAAAACAAACAAACAATTTCTGCTTTTGCAAACCAAATATTAACTGTATTAAGTGACAAACATTTATTTGAATTGTGTCGTTTGGTACTATTTTTTTTTTTTAAATATAGTTTTAAAATAAGACAAATTATTGCCAAATAGCATGGTAAATATGTGGAATTCATCATCCAAGTTTTGTATGATTGACTCTCGCATAGGATATTACATACTACCATTAAAAATTAAATTCTTAAGCAAAAGTAAAAACATTTCTGTATGTGACAGCTTGAAAAACATTTATAATTTTAGACAAGAAATATACATTACATGATATGATTTCATCCTATTTCATCAATCACAACACATGCATTATAAAAAAAAGTTTAAAATTTAAAATAATTCATGCAGTTTTTAAAGGAAAATTTTTGTAATTAGTGGAAAAACTGTCAATGTAAATAGAATAAAAACTAAGCTGGTGTAAACTAAACAAATTGCATACATACTAAGTAAAACTTTAAATTACAAGTCAGAAAGTCCTAGTTTATCTAAAGATGGTGAACATCTCTTAAAGTAAACACAAAAGAAAACACAAACACATTATAAGTAGGCAGACCTTGGAAGAGCATGAAGAGATAGTTGACGGAAACAAGCAATAACGGCTCTCTTTCTTTGTGTCGAGACACATGATCGATACTGTTGCTTACTTTGCAGTTGTGGATGGTCAATCTAATGGAACAAAAACAAAGCAACCTAGGAATTGATAAATAAATAAAATAGGAAAAACAAAAACAATAGTAACACTGCCCTCACTAGTTATGAAAATAAAAACACTAAATTAAATTAATATTAGAAAAGGAAATAATGTAAAAAAAGTCAATAAATTATAAATTTGTGTATTAAGAAAAGAAGAGAAGGAAGAAACTGGTGCTCTTAATTTTTCAAAATGATGTTTGATTTTTTAAAAGAGAAAAAGCATTCCAAATTGTTTAATTTCCAACTTACCATGTGCAGGCCGAAAAGAACTTTTGCCATGGCCACAATTCTATCGACGACTTCATCAATTTGTTGAGGCTTTTCTGTGCTAATTTCTTTTTTATTGCCAAGCTTGGAATATAAGTAATGTTGCCAAGACATCTCGTCGCCTGGATCAATTTTGTCAGGAAGTGTGAGCTGGGTTTTCGCAAAATCAACTATTTCATACTCGGGTAATTTCTGTGAAAAAGCATATATTCAATTTTGAACCAAGAATACGAATAAAAAGCTACTCACTTTAAGATATCTGTCTTTACAATGCTGAACAAGTTCTTGTTCTCTTCCGGCAAATAGATTCAAACCAACAGGTAATAACCGTTTTAAAGCTGCAACCATTAAACTGGCCTGAAGTTCCTTGTTCTTGTCTCTTTTCTTATCCCGGTTCTTCTTTTTCTTCTGTAAAAATTATGTTTAATGTACTACAATCCTATAGAAAAAATTTCCTTGTTGAACCTTGGCTTTTCCACTTCCACCAGCCGGTGCTGCACCTTCAGACATTGTAACTGTCCTTCTTGTCGCAGTAGGCATGATTAATGCCATATTATCTATCTCGTTGGCAGAAATGAAATTGTTTTCTTCCTTCAAGAAATACTGCGATTTTGACCAGATGTTGAATATATCCGCGATGTGATTGTACAACTCATCAGCCTCGGGTATGTTGTTCCGGAGCCAGTGATTTCTCTGCAGATCGACGTACTTGATCAGGAGAGGATAAAACGAATAGATGTCTCTAACAATGAGGTTCCATTCTTCTTGAATTTCAGCTTCAACTTGAGACGTGTCTTCTGCGCTGGACTTTAAAAATCCTCTCAGCGATTCTTCCTTGTGGCACATGCTATCGATACGCTTTTTGACAGTGAGCGTCAGAGGTAGGAAAGGGTCCTTGAGAAGTTCCTCAGAAGAATTTATGATAATTTGCTGAGTAAAGGCTGAAAATTTAATCAAATTAGTTTCCTGGCAAATGAATTAATGAATACGTAGGAGCATACTATCCTACCTGCAATTCTTGTCATCCATGGGGCATTTTCATTGCCAATGTTGCTTTTGATCAACTTCAGCACATTTTTAAGCAACTTATTCATGTGTTCACTTGTTACCATTGTAACATAATTTCTTTAAGAAACAAAATAATGATTATAAGTACATAAAATTTATAAGAATCATAAAGTAGAACAACAAAAACAACGATGATGGTTCTGACATATATTATATATTTTTTACAGTTAATAAAGTAAATATAAAAAATAAAAATAAAATAATGCTATCATGATGAATACATACCCAGCTGTAAGGGATACATTATCTGGCCCTTGGACCCACCAGACCGGAAGGTAGGCACAGAGAAGTGGAAGGATAACATCGATGACATGAGGTGCTGCGCTGTGACTCTTATCAGATTCGACAAACTGGTCAACTTCAGCAAGAATCGTGTCCAGGGTCGGCATCGTCTGTTCCATACGGTTTAGTACATCTGTAAAAGGATGTATGTTATAATCAATCATTCATCATGATATTCTTGGCCATTCTTACCTTGAGCTTCTAAGGAATGATCTGCGATTCTATTGACCAACGAGTACTGGTTGTGTTTGTTGAGGTGAGGCTCGAGGTAAGCGACAGGGAAAGTAGATGAAAAAGCACCCAGACAACTTCCGATTGCAGGTCTATGCCTTTCAATTTCTGTCTTCAAATACTTCCTACAAAAATTTAAAAAATTAAAATAACCAATTAATTTATTTAATATCCGCGAATGTGAGAACATTTAAATAAAATGACCTATCATGCGTGAGTGTTGGGTCTATGCCGAGTGTGTAAAGGCTTCCGAGCATTTTATAAGATGCTACTTGAATTTCATCAACTGTAATCAGAAAATGCATTAATTAACCAATTAACAGTTAGAGAAGATTTATGAGAACTTACGCAGCAAATCAATTCCATAGTCACAAGCGGCAAGGTGGTCAAACATTGATGTCAAGACAGGCAACACAACATCATTTATGTAAAACAAGGAAGTTGACGTCTTGAGATGTGTCCCTCTTAGATGGCTGTACCTTCCCTAAATTTGAAAAAAAGCATATAAATTTCTTAAATATTTAAAAACATTTATATTGTATTGGATTACATCTGTTAAGCACTGGATAGTCTGGCCTAAGTCATCGGCGGTGTTATTGAAAAATGTGAGCATTGAAGTTCTTATAAATTCGGGACAGTTTTTAACCAAGGACCTAAATTCAATGGCCAATTAATAATGTGATAACAATTATTAATGTCTTAATGCAATTACTTTGCATCTATGGCTTTCACTAAAACTTGAAGGCACCTAACAGTTATCCTAACATCTGGGCCAAAAGCGGACAACCTCGTTCTTAACAAATTTGCCAATTTACAGAAAAGACTCGCGACCATTTCCTTCTCTTTCAACGACGCTGCTCCAATATTGTTTGTGGCAGTAGCAATTGCAATGAAATAACTTCTGTGTGTGCTGAAATATTTCTCAACAAGAAGTAGCACCACCTAGAATAAAAAATATACATTAAAACTTGCCGTGTTCATATTTAAAAAATGCCTGGTTTACCTTGAAGAAAAATTTGATGTCTCTTGTACACGTTTTGAAACTTGACCGCCTACTGAAAGTCGTGGACGGCTTGAGTAATTTCATGTTGATCGAAGCTTTGTCCGTATACTGGATGAGCTTTTCCAGAAGACTGTAGGCAAACCTGGACTCGCCTGTGGCTGCTGCTGCAATTTGTTGATCAATGTCACCACCACCTCGGTTTGGTCTATAAAATAAAAAAAATTAGAAAGTTGCAGGTTCAAAAATTTTCATATATGAAACTTACTTATGCAGCTTGAAGCCTTGGTACTGCAAATACTTGAGGAATTCTTGTGACCTCTCCCTGTCTTTTTTCTTTTCTTTGTCAGTAAGGAGATCATATGGGACTAATTGAGGATGAATCGCTCCTCCTGTAAAATGAACAATATTTATGGTTTATAGTATAATGATTGGATTGATTTCCTGAGGTATGGAATCAATCACACTAATCAGAACGAAGTAAATGATGCAATAAATTTATTGGCTGCATGTATTGAAGTATTTTCTATATTTGTATTAAAAAAGGCTTCATTAATATATAAAATATTTATTTCCTAATAATTAATCAACGAGCTTAACTAAAAGTTTTAACTGTAATTATGAGTTATTTATTACCGCAAGTAGTGAGTTCTTCTTTTTTCTTTTTTGCCCAAATGTCATGTGAGTTTTCTGCAAGACGTTCAGCCATGTTTTGCATTTCCCTGCTGAGTGTAAGATTTGTCATGTCGATAGGATTTGGATGATAGTTGAAAGGAGAGCCGCTATCCATGGCACCTTTCGACTGTCTTCTCACTGAGCTTCCTCTGTTGTTTGACGGGATGTCGACTTCAGTGTGTTCTATGGTCCATCCAATGGCCAATAGTGCTTTAAGAGATTCCCTTACGGGTTCTTTGTACCTTTCTTTTTCCTGGAAAACACAAACAGCATTATTATAATAAATAATAATTTTGAATCATATCTTACGTAATCATTCAACATATTGTATGGTTTCAGACGAGGATGCGTTTTTGAACTGTCAGACCATTGATCACCGTGCACCCATCCATTTTCCATTTTTCTGCTAGCCCACGCGTCATGATAGTGTTCAGAAAATTTCTGAACAATTGAGTTCATATCATTATCAAGTGATACTCTAAAGGCAAACAAAAATTTAAAACGCTGAAAAGCATTTTATTACATGAAGACTTACGATGATGTGTTAATAGGTTGTGGATTGTACGGTCCATCAACAGGTCCCATATTCTTAGTGCCGTACAGTTCATCATCATAGTTCTTAGATAAAGAATAATCAGGTGGGAGAGCACATCCAATTGCAGAAAGGCAGGGCAGAGCTTTTCCAAACAGTTCAGGATCATAATCCATCTTTGATAATGAATCGAATATATTGCTGAAGAGAATCATCGTCAGCCTCTTTTCCTCATCGCTTGAGTTGGTTGATCCTCCAGAAGATCCGTAATACTTGGCACAACGATCATAGTGAAGAGTCAACAACTATAAATGTAATTTGATTATTAGTGTATAGAATTTATTACTAATTACTGTTCTTATTATACCCTCAAAGCGACTGTAGTGTACTCTGAAAGCTGAGATACATCAATAGTCAACTTTCGAAGCAATTTAAGCAACATACTTGGCTGCAACTGGCTAAAATAAAGAATTAACAATAATTGAATTGAGTCAAATGAATAATCTTCCGATGATAACTGAAAACAAAAATTACCTTGTAAGAGCTACAAGAAAATCTGAAACTGCTTCTCTTTGACCTTTGGTCAACATTCGATTTTTTGAAAGCCTGTAGACAGTGTGCAGTGTTGCATCCAAAAGACTTGCATAATTGTCAGCATTGCCGTAAAACTGCGAGTGTTTTATAAGCAACGGAAGAATCGAATTTCCAATGTAACGATTCATAGCAAGAGCCATTTCAGATTCTTGGCCGTCACTCTGTAACATCCAGACAAAATTAATACACGGCATTTGTAAAATTGTGATCACACCAACCCTGTCGAGCATAGTCGCTGCACGAAGATCTGGCAAAAATGCATCCTCGAGAATTCTGAAGAACAGGTCTTGATGTTCAATGCCGTAAACCCTTTCTAGAAAAAGTACTACGCTCTGCTTGTGAGACGGAATCAAGCCAGACGGGATGTCGCTCTTTGGCCTCTCTTCTCCGGCAGCCGGGTTGGTCAAAGTAAACTTCAGACTGAGAACTCCTGATAAATCTTCAAGCGGAACCAGTGATCTCAGAATTGCCCTGGCTCTCAAAGACTCATTCTTTCCCTATTTACGAATATGCCTTTTAGTTAATTACTTGAAAATTTAATTTTTTCGTATTACCTGTGCAATGACGGAAACATCAGGTGCACATCTTCCGAGTAGGTCAACAAGCGTACAGTAAAAGGCTAAAATCGCAGCTCCAGTGTCGATGTAGTCTTCATCATCGTCAGATTCGGGCAAAGGATGTTCGAACTGCAAGCCTAATGTGGTTCCTTCAGCTTCATCCATTACTTTTCTTCTGTCTGCTATTCTTTCTGACATCTAGATGAGAAATTTCAATAGTTAAATTACTGACGGTCTATTATTAATTATATTTTCAATGCCATTAAGATAAATAATTATTTTACACAAATTACTTTTTATTTTTTGTGTAGTTAAATACCAATTTGTGTAAATCGTTTTTAAATACCCATTCATTTCAATAAAAACAATTATGAGTAATACTAAACCACTAATAATAATAATTATTATTTTTAATTTGGTTATTACAGACGCACTATAGATGGCAAAATGCTAAAACACGTCTGATGGACTAAACCAGCAAGGATAGGCAGACCAAAATAATCAACAACACCAAAATTACAGGTTCATCACCCCACAAACTCCACAAAGAAATCTCACAATAATTATGAAGAGGTTTTTCTTGAGGACCGTGGGTGATAAACTTTTGGTGATTTTTTATTCTTTTGGACTGCCACACAGATTTCAGTTTTATGCCACTGAAGAAAGTCAGACCAAACTGTTCAGGAATGAACTAACTGCAAATAATAATTATGTTAAAAAGAAACAAATACTGTTAAAGTTATGATCCTTGTTCAACAACTGTGTTAAATCTCAATAAATTCGAGTTATAAACTAAACTTATATCTGTAATTTGGTCATTTCTGACCACCTGGTCTGCCTATCCTCACGGATGTAGTGGCGATTGACAAAATAACACAGAACAGCCACAGAAGATGGCAGAATGCTGATTAGTATCAGACAACCAAAATGATCAGTAACGATCAAATTTCAACTACTATTGTTGCTTGGTTGTATTTGATTGCCTAATCTCATTGTTTTGTCTTTTGCCTAAAAGAAAGTTTGTGTCTTGCCTCACTATAACCCTGATGAACTACAGGAAATAACATTATTTTGAAACATATCGGAAAGACCAACCAACCCACATAGGCAGACCAAAATGATTGGTAAAAACCAAATTTCAACTACTATGGTTGTTTGGTTATTTTCAATTGTCTAATATTGTTGTTTTGCCTTTCATTGTCTTGTTATAGTTGTTTGCATGTCAGTGATTTATCCATTATGGTGATACACAAAGTTTCAGACCAACCACAGGACAAGCGAAATTCTGAAATGTGTCTGGTGGACCAACCCCGGTGAGAACAGGCAAACCAAAATGATAACCAAATTTCTACCTCTATGGTTGTGTGGTATACAAAATTGAGAATATAATATTGAAAATTTACCTTGTTAGCATCAATAATCGCTCTCAGCAGACCCTCACCTTCACCCCTCAAAGCCGGTCCAAGACATTCAGGCCGCCTGATTAGAAGTCTGATCACCAAGTTTGCGTTTTCTTCCACACTTTCACCTACGTCAAGCATCATCTGTATTTTTCATCTTCATAAATATTTAGCTGAGACGATAATTTACCATTGACCCAGACACAGAAGCGTAAGAAATCCAGATACCTTTCACCCTCAACAGGATCCCAACCAAGATCGGGATATCCTTTTTCAACCAACTCTGAATTCGATTGGAGACCGCAACGACTCAGATAAATAGCTATTTTCTCTAAATAATGTTCTCTAAAAATTTACATTTACTGTATTTATACATGGCGATACAATCGAATAATCTTTGCATTTACCTGAGTGCAAGAGCGAGTTCTGTGTTTTCCATAAGAGAGGAATAAGCAACGTCGAGTGGTGTACTACCTCTGAGAGAAGGTCTCGAGAGCAGGATATTACTGTTTTCAAGGAGGAAAGTCAAATGGTCAAACATAGCCTTTTGGTTCTGCCTTGACGTTCTGCAGAAATAACAAAGGAAACGACAACACGCCACAACCATTTCATGAGAAGTATCCTGTATCAAGACAATATATCAATCATGGAATGATCCATAGAATTTTAATTGATAAAACCTTCTCTTTAGCCACAGGCTCGCCTTCTTGTCCGCCTTGAGGTGCATCCGATTGAGCTTGTGATCTCCTGCCCAGTGTATTGATCATTACAGCCATAACGTTCTCGTGCACCCTAAGAACTCGAATTAGATCAGGGTGTTGGAAGAAAGTATGGTTGTTCACAAGCTTCCTAAAAAATAATACACAGTAGTAAAATAAAAACATACCACCACGCAAGAAACATACCATAAACGCATTCTCATCAAGCCTTCTTCCTCTTGAGACATCTGCACAGGTAGAAGTGCCCTTATCTGACTCAGGCCAATCCACATCAAAGCAACATCATCTTTGGTCTTATAGTTAATAACGTAGGTCTTTCCCAATGATCTTTGAAGTTCTCCCACACTATCGTACTGCCTGACTAGTAGACTGAAAACGAGATGTCATTAATCGCACTATCGCATAGAATCACAACTATATATTTTTTGATATTATTATCAACCAAATAATCAATCATTAGTAGTGTAATTACCTGAACATTTCCCTAACCAATTTTGGTGTTTCAATCTGTGATTCTTCAGCCCATCTGACGATTGTGCTTATAAGTACTTTGCGAAATATCTCTGGGGAAAAAATTCAGATTTTTAATTGTCAGCGTGTTTGGTTTGCAGTACAATTTAAATCAATAGAGCTACCTTCGGGAGTTTTCTTTTCAGGCTCTTCAATGATCTTTGGTGGAACATCGAGCTCTTTCACGGCGTTAATGAAATTGTACAATTTTCGAAACATGTTCGGTTTCTCTTCTTCAGTTGGACCTTCCTAAAGATAAAAATTATTGAAACTTACATACATACAAACATACAACACAAATATATGCACATCTTTTAATGTAATAAATATGTTAGATTTGAAAGTCACCAGGAATCAAAATATCTAGGACTAGTGATGCCAGAAAGGTTAGATGATAAAGTCTTATATTAACGCTGAGTATGGTATCGGCCTTTGATGATAAATAGTAAAAAAACTGGAAGATCAGGGATGAGCCCAAAGGTTTAGTAGGCCTCATCCCTGATCTCCCAGTTTTTTAATATCTTATATTAACTTCTTCTTCCTTGCAGTTCTATTGTTCAATACTATAGATTTTAAACTATTATAATTGATTTAAATAAATACCATCTTATTTTAAAAGTACCTCTTCAGGTTCTTGTAAAGCAACCAATGATACTTTCTGCATAAGCCCAGAATGGAAAGAATTCAATCTTTCCCTTAATTCGGGACCACATGGGCAACTTTCGCTGTCATCTTCGTCCAGGTTTTTGAAACAAATAATTGCATTCATCTGAAAATGAGTAGAACTTTAAGTTTAGTGAAAGATTATTTTTTTATGTTTCATTTCTTGCCTGTTCCCTAGGAGGACAACGGAACTCTCTTGTCTTTTTCGCCGCTACTGACGCTGGTAGATCTGTCTGTTTGATTTCAATGTATCTTCTCAACTGATCCTGTCATATTTTTTTAGATTTTAGTGAAATTGATAATACCCGTTATAACAACATATACGTACAGTTTGAATGTCTGCGACGTAATCATGGCTGAAATTAATAATGTCTTCAACCCGATGTCTCAACTGAATGTCGCACAAGTGTTGTAACAAATAGCACATCTGAAGTTTAGCCCCTTCGGCCATTTTCATTTGAAGAAGACCCTTTCTGTGTTCATCCTTTCCATCTTTTTCAAAATTTGGATCCCAGGTTTCAGGATCGAACATTATCAGAAGTTTTATCACATCTTCATCCCTGAGCATTCCTACTAAAAGCAGCCTGTCAGCCAGCTTCAAAAGTGGTCTGAAAATTTAACAAATTTAAATTTGTCGTTAAAATCAGTTTGAATAAACTTACAAGAAAAGATTTTCATTTGAGCCTCCAACAGGATCTCTGATGTGAAGTTGGTTTATCTCGACCGCTTCTTGCACAGCCAACATAACATAATCCCTGACAGCATCAAGAGGGAAATAAGGGCTGTACAGCGTATTAATGCTCTCAATGGGTTCACTAAAAATATATTTTAATGCATTAAATTTATTATTAAAAATTTGTTATTGAATTTCATTACTAACTTTATATCCGTCATTTTCATCTGGGGAAGAACTGACACCATTTGCAAGGATCTCAAGCTGTGCCCCATTTCTGGGTCTTCGTAAAGCTCCTTCAACTCAGGCCCAAGTGGAATAATAAACTCATTTTTACAAATTTCCCTGAAAAAAATGTATTAGATTTCAAAAAATTTGCTAACAATTATTTTCTTGAGTAAAATTAATTAAGGTTTTTAGTTGAGATAAAAAAGTCAATGGCATGAGCGGGATTCGAACCCACCATCTTCGGCTTGATACGCCGCTGATGTACCACTTGAGCTATCGTGACCTCGATCCACACGGACACCACCTTCCCATCTCAACCGCACCTTTTGAATTTTCCCTCCTTTTTGCCATTTTTCAATTTTTCATTCGGCGTATCAAGCCGAAGATCGTGGGTTCGAATCCCGCTCATGCCATTGACTTTTTTTATCTCAACTAAAAACCTTAATTAATTGTAATATATTAATTGGTCAAGCGGACCACGAAATTAGTGAATTTCTTGAGTAAAGTTCAACATCATGTCCAATAATACTTATCAAAAGTTGTTTAACATAGCTTAATTAATATTTTATTTATAATATAATTTTTTTAATGCTTTTTAAGTTAATGATTTTACTTTGTCAATAATTGTCAATGTACTAATATCACATACTATTTAAGTAAGATGTGAGTTATTTTTAAGGCCTGCAGTTTTGTTGTTTCAAACTATCCTCACTGTTTTGGTTTATTAGAAGCATTTTGCAATCTTCAGCAGTAGATTATTTGTAATTTTAAACAATATACCATTGAAGAGAGCAAAATATCGAATCAGCACGAATATGAATACCAGGCTCATAAACTATAATAAAAAAAATCTGTAATAGATTAAATAACTGATGATATTTACATTGTTGTTGCATGAGATTCGATATGGAGGGCAATCAACAGGTCATAAAAGCCCAATCTCAGTGGTCCAGACATGTATTCAGATCTGATGGCATACTGGAGCTGTTTCTGATCTACATGTTGGCAAAGTGCATGTGCTGCTCTGTAATTCGATTGGTAACACAAAGCCGCATAAAGTGTCAAAGTGTGGGCATGGAATCTGAAACAAAACTATCGCTATTACAAGTTTTTGTTCAAATATTTCAAAGAGCTGTTGTTCTTACGACAAAAGTTTTTCCATTTCGATCAGCTCGAGAATATCAATGCACCTATCCTCTTCGGGGATGTGAAGCGCGAGCATTGAAATTGGGTCTTCACAGAGCATACTCCAACCCCTGATATCGGACAGTTTGAGAGCGTGGACCTGCAGAGAAATGTTCGGCACTCTCGCCCATTGATGTGGAATCAGACACTGTACTTTCATCCTTGGGGGAAACTGTTAAGCAAAGGCAAACATTCAAATGATACATAGAAGTATTTTTTAGAGATTTACACCAACCTGTGGAATCACATGCCGTTCGGAATTGCGAAGTACAGCTGCCGAAAGGGGCAAAGTTGTGGGTGTCCTTCCAAGCTCGATCTGAAGGATTTCTTTGCTTGTCGCTTCAACAAAAATTGCTGGGAATAGTTTGGTGTCTGGTTCCATCTATTTTCACAGTAAAAAAGTTAAAATTATTTTGTAAAGATAAGAAAATACTTTTTTTTTCATATATTTAACATCCAAGAAACTTGTTTATGTATAACATAATCATACAATTATAAAATTTACATAAAATAACATAATTTATACTACTAGAACCCTATAAATCATTTAACTGTACTTAAATATTAAATTACAATTAAGGTTTTTAGTTGAGATAAAAAAGTCAATGACACGAGTGGGATTCGAACCCACGATCTTCGGCTAGATACGCCGCTGCTCTACCACTTGAGCTATCGTGACCTCGATCCACTCGGACACTAACTTCCCATCTCAACCCCACCTTTGGAAAAATGGAAAAAAGGAGGGAACATTCAAAAGGTGTGGTTGAGAGGGGAAGTTAGTGTCCGAGTGGATCAAGGTCACGATAGCTCAAGTGGTAGAGCAGCGGCAAATCTAGCCGAAGATCGTGGGTTCGAATCCCGCTCGTGCCATTGACTTTTTTATCTCAACTAAAAACCTTAAATAATTGTAATATATTAATTGGTCAAGCGGGCCACAAAATTAGTGAATTTAAATATTAAAACTAGCAGTAAAGAAAATGTGTACCTTGTACTTGTGTTTTGTTTCTTTTCCTTCACAGGTGAAGGTCATGTAGCCAGTAGCCGTATCGATGGAACATCCAATGGTCATGCCTTGAGAAGCCACTTTTCCTGATGCATCTTGAGTGACTTCGTTGTAAAGTTCATCGGCCCTGAGCATGTAACAGCTCTGCCTTTCGATACTCTCGATAATGCGGTTGTAGTCATCTTCGACAGACACTGTGCTTTTCAGGACTTTGCTCTGGCTGAAGTCATTGCTGTGAAGGTGAAACTGCGTTGTCACCCATCCGACATAAACATGAGTTGGGTCTTGTCCTGGGAATATTCTCACGGCATAGTAATATTCGTTAATAAGTTTTAAGCATTCAGCATCATAAATCTCGTTTCCGATGGATTCGACTCCTGATCCTTGTGGGACGGACATTGTTTTTGGTCCCCCTCGGTCTGCCATAGGAGACGGTGGTTTGACATCCTACAAAAAATTTGTTTAATCATAAAGTAAAAAAAAACCTTTGAATTTTCACTTGTATTGTCAACATGAGAGAATTTTAAATACATCAAAATGAAAGTTTGAAAATCAAACTAAATCTTTGACTTCTTTTTGTTACTTGATTTTTAATTTTCTTACAGCAAGAGCTTTTGTAGGTGTTCTTATCAGGCTTCCACCCCTCTGCATCTGTGGTGTCCTTGGCGGTTCCAACAGATTATTAGAAGCTGGCTCGGGAGTTCTACCTTTCTTCCCTCTTTCGCCACTTGCATCTCTTTTACGCGAGAAAAACCTGAAAAACGTTTTGATGCCGCATCAAACCTGTCATTTCATAATTTAACAGTTAACATACCTAAACGGGGATCTTCCACGTTTTTTCTTGTCATCCTTTCCATCTGAGATTTCCCCATTGTAACGATTAAAGTCGAGTTCACTTGTCGATCTGTTCATCGCTCCTAAGCCTGAATTCAGCAGTTAGAAAAGATTTTTTTTTAAATATTAAAAATTACTGACCTGATTCTAAAGTTCCATTCAAGTGAGTCATATCTTCCTGTCTGGAAAGTGAACCCTTCCTAGGTGGTCTGGATGGTGTTGACTTGAGTTTTGATTTCATCATGGGAGAAGAACTCGGTCCGATAACTTCATCAGCTTCAACTGCATCTTCAGAATATCCTCTTTGTAAACCTAATTTTTAATGTAATCATTAAATAAATGAAATTCTCAATGGAACTAGTGTGTAATAAGTTTAAAAATTAAATTTTGGCAGGAATTTTTCTTAAAATTAAACCATAAACTGGTAATCAAAAATGTCTCTAAAAAGAGGTTAAAAATTACATTGAACATATACCTTTGATATCACTCATACTAAATCCAGATTTCATTATTTGCTCAATATGAGCTGGGGTCGTCTGCTCTTGTTCGGCAAGGAGGCGATGTTGTCTAATTCGAATTTCCTGCCAACGTCTCATCTTTTCTGTTTCGCTAAAATAAAAACATTTTAATATGCATTTCATCAAACATAAAATCCAAAATATTTATTACTCGATGAAAGAAGACTCGCATATGACAGGTAGGGAAAGACGCAAGAACTCCCAGTTGGCCTTTTCCATGGTCTCGAAAGTGTTGTGGCTGATTTTGAGGCAAGGTGGAGAATCCGACCCAGGAGGGATACGTGTGACATCAATTCTCGTATCGGCATAGTCGTCGGTATTTTCAAAGATCGGCTGGTCCTTGGTGTACCAATATGTCACAGCACGGTTCATGTTCACACAAAAAGGCTCATAGCCCTCTTGAAGTCCACATGTTGTAAAATACTTTAGTGCGTTCACGTCCTGGCCGAAAGTCAGCTTTGCCTTCTGCCCAACGCTGAGAGTAAAAGCTGGCACAAACCCTTCACCCTGGACGTCGGAAAACGATGTCTCTCCTCCTAATGTGTCCATAAGAAGTTCACCATTTAATGAAAAGCCTAGAACAAAACCAAATAAATTGAATATTTCTGAATGATTTTTGTTACGAAATGTAAAAATGAATGTCAAAAATTCTCTTTTAAGAAAAAATCATAAATAAAGTGTTGCGTGTTAAAACTAAGTGCATTGGCAGAGTTTAAATGTAGTATTTTTATAACAGTGCTCACTAATAGTGTGGTCTAAAAGATCCAGGAAAACTCCTACAACATCACCGACTGTCCATTGTCGACCAAACGATTCTGCTACACCTGAAGAAATTTTTTCTTCCTAAAATCAAGACAAGATTTTTGTGAGCATCACAGTTATTCACATACAATTAATTAAGGTTTTTAAGTTGAGATAAAAAGTCAGTGTCACGAGCGGGATTCGAACCCACAACCTTCGGCTCGATACGCCGCTACTCTACCACTTGAGCTATCATGACTTTGATCCCCTTGGGCACTAACTTCCCATTTCAACCCCACCTTTTGAATTTTCCCTCCTTTTTGCCATTTTTCATTGGTCAAGCGGACCACGAAAAATAGTGAGTTATTCACATATTTTATAACTACATACTAGTAAAACTATATAATGTACTCTGGACTATTAAGCATGAGGAAATTTTACAGTTTTTATTAATTATCTATTAAGACCTTTGCCAGTAGGTGACTGTCATATCATGCTTTAGTAAATTAATTATTGTTTTATTCAAAAAATATAAAATACTTATTTTTGTTCTGTTAATTTTTAGAGGAATTATTTCAACTCACATTGTAACCATCAAAAGCCCAAGAGTTTTCATCGCTTCCAAGTTGTGATCCGGGACAGTAATCCGACGTAGCCCAACCAACTTTCATCGGTCCAGCTGTTAGAATTTCAAACTCGAAGTACCTGTTAAAAAACAATTTATTGCATGTGCACTGAATTTTCTTATTTAGAACCTACCATTTGCCGCTATTAACTGCATAAGTTTTTTCTGCTCTGTATGTTCTAAAAGCTTGATGTTTCAAGCGGCTCGCCTCGGCCAACAAAGCTGTTAAAAAGTTTGGATTAAAAATACAAATAAAACAGTCAATGTTTTGTCATTTTACCTTCTGTTTGTTCTCCAGTTGGTGGATCTAAATTGTATCCATAGACAAGCAAAGTTCTTACAGTTTCACTGGCAGTATCTCTGTCATAATAAAATAATTTCTTAATTAATGTTCAAATTGCCAAATATAATCCAAATTACCTGTTGGCTTTTTTGATCAATTCATCTACTTTGGAATAAGGCACTAAATGTGGACTTCTGCAATAGTCAGGATCTTCATTTAGGCCGTATGTCCATCCTTGTTGGATTCTTTCCTTGGCCCAGAGATTGTGCGTGTTCTCAGCTAACTGGTCAACCAGTTCTTCCATTTTTGGAGTTAGAGTTATCGCGCTTAAATCAAGAGGGGCTGGTTTGTATCCGTTCGGTTGCATAAATGGCTCATTTGGAAGACGGATGTTTTTTATACGTGATGGCGGCTTGTCGACGCTGATGTGATATCCTAATGCTACTATTGTTCTAAAAATTGAAACAATTTTTAATGTTTGTTCTTTAATGCAATAAAACCTATAATTACTTCAAAGTTTGCACAGCTAATTGGGTATCGTATCTTTTTTCTGCAGCAGGGAGTTTGTCAAACTGTACAAGGCATGGATGTATCCTCCTGATGTCATCTCTATTTTCACCAAAAATCCATCCAGCTTCGATCTTGTTCATAGCCCACATTTCATGAATGTTTTCTGCCAAACGATCTCGAATTGTTTCAACATGGTTTGGGAGTGTTATCTGTATTAAATATTTAAGTTATAAATGCGTTGTTGAAGGTTTATAGACGGTGTAAATTTACCATTGTAGTGTCAACTGGGATAGGAACAAAGGCAGTATCGTCTTCGATGGTGTAAGGGCCAGACAAAACACATTTGTTCAGATTGCCAAAGTAAAAGCATGGATCAATAGAAAGAATTTGCTGCGGCTGAAGACTTTCAACTAATGGAGAAAACTCCTCAGGAGGCACATATTTAAGTCTCCCATGATCACCACCAAGCAGAAATCGACAACTTTAACAAAAAAATGTAATTAATGTTTAAATTCTCAAGGACATTAAAACAAAATACCTTAATTTCGATGAACAACTGATTACTGGGAAAAACATCCCTTCAAGATTAAAATTTCTAAATGAACCTTTAATAGCATGGCCATTGAACGTAAATGTTATAATAGGAACAGTGAGATCAAGAGCACAGCCAATAACATCTCCTTTTTTGATGTAAGGTGGTCCTTGAGCAAGTTGACTTACGACGGTACTTCTTCCACCTGAAATATTTGATAAATAATTAAAAACATTTTAACTTTTTGACTATTGATTCAAATTCACCAGTCCATAAGGCAAATCCGTCGAAACCGAATGAGTACAAGTCATCACCAACACCGTTGCCACCCCATTTTTCTCCTCCTCCAGGGTAAGGAACATACCTAATAAAAATACAATGTTATATTTGCAATATGAATATTGAAATTTATAATTTACCCAGCAGTGTTCGCCCAGCCGATGCGCAAATGCGGTGTCATGTGTGTCATTTGTTCCATGTGGTCAAGTGTCACTTCAAAATACCATTTTTGATACACCGCTGATCCTTCAACTCTCCCGACAAATATGTTTGGACGGACACTAACAATTGATAAACAATTAATCGCATGTTTTATGGTTGTGCTTATTGTGGACAAACCTGGCTACATGGTCGACAAGCTGTGTTTGAAGCAAGAGATTCTTCCCAGGAAGTAAGAAGTCGCATATATTGTTTTGTGAACTCCTCACGGCGACACCATTACCCACACAAAGTGAACAGAGGACGTCGAGTACTTTTGGATCCCTTCCATGTTTCTCAAGAAGAGAAATGATAACTTTTATATGTTCATCCTAGTAAAATAGACACAGTTTTTTGTATTTTGTACGCCAAAATAGAAAGTTATGATTGTCTCGGTTTGCAAACAATATAATAGAGATTAAATTGAAAGAGAAAAATGTAGATTTAAGAAAAAAATACTAACTCTCATCATGTTCAGAGCTTCTGGTGAATCAATAAGGACACAGTGAAGTACATCCAACATTCCAGTACCTTCGCTGGAGGCTTGAGAGCCAAGTCGGCTGAAAAGCCAGTTGAGTCTGTTTGTGTTGGCAAATTGTGCACAATTGGTATGATTTCCCTTTATGATAGCAGCTAGAAAAAAAAGTTACAACAAATTTGGCAAGAGAACTCTTATTTTTATTACAAACTTGTGTTACTTGCCTAAGAGCTGGTACAAATAGCCTGAAATGATATCCCAACTTTGTCCAGATTCGTCACCAGCCAAATTGACCAAAAACCCTTGCGATGTTATAATGTTGATTTTGTCGATAGCTTCAAGGATCAGATTGAGGATGCCCTCCTCTTGAAATAGATCCTGCCTGTTTCTAAGAGCCCTTAGCTTATTTTGCTTTTCTTCGTGTTCTAAATAATATAAATTATACATCTTTTAAATTCGAGTTTTAGGTCAACAATTAACCATATGTATACCCATGTCTTCTTCAGGTTGAGCAAAGTAATTGATTAAATCTTCTAAACACATGACCATTTCGTTAAGATTCACGGTGGCGCAGAAGAGGGAATGTCTACGGTTCAATTGCAACTCTTCCAGCCCTCTAGAATGATTATTAACTTTTGTTATTTATAAACTTTGATTTTTATTATGCAATCTTAAATTTAATATAAATAACAAGTTTCAATTAATTAAGGTTTTTAGTTGAGATAAAAAAGTCAATGTCACGAGTGGGATTCGAACCCATGACGATATTTGTTTTAAATCTTGTTATTTATTCAATTCACTAGTTTTTGTGGTGCGCTTGACCAATTAATATCTTTCAATTATTAAATTAAGGCTTTTAGTTGAGATAAAAAAGTCAATGTCACGAGAGGGATTCGAACCCACGACTTTCGAATTTTGAAAAATGGCAAAAAGGAGGGAAAATTCAAAAGGTGGGGTTGAGATGGGAAGTTAGTGTTCGAGTGGATCGAGGTCACGATAGCTCAGGTGGTAGAGCAGCGGCGTATCAAGCCGAAGGTCGTGGGTTTGAATCCCGCTCGTGCCATTGACTTTTTTATCTCAACTAAAAACCTTATTAATTGAAAGACATTATTAATTGGTCAAGCGAACCACGAAAACTAGTGACTTGAATAAATAACAAGATTTAAAACAAATCTCACAAATAGTATAGAGAAGATGATGTTAATAAATTAAATATTTTTTGTAGTTTAATAGCAATAATTTAGTAATAAATAATTGTATTTTTTTAAACATTTTAAATTTTTGTATGGATTTGTCTGTTCCTACTATCATTTAACATATTTAAAAGCTCACAAAAAAATCCATCTGTTATGAACAAGTTTCAATGATAGTTTACTATTTAAAATATATAAATTTTTAAAAATGTGATTTTAATAATTACTTGATAAATTGTGTAAAAAGAGATGAACACTTCCTAATGACTCTTGCAGTTCTTGACTCTTCCTCTTGACTTCTGCTGAAGTCCAAACCGTCGTCCATTTTCCCTTCTTCATGAAGAACTGCTTGTTTTTCCTCTACTTTTCCTACGCCTTTTTTCTTCGTCTCGAATGACTGAAATTAAAATTAGTATTTAACTATAAAGATACATTATTAAATATAAAGACACAAAACTGAATTTATAAAAAGATAAAAAGATATTTAACCTTGTATGTGACCCATAATCCACTTTCTGAATGTTGAACAAGAACAGTACTGTCACCGTACTTTATAATTGGCGCACCGATTACTTCGAGATCTTTGTCTTCCATGACAACTTTTTGATCGTCTTTCTCTTGTCGCAAAATAAAAGTTGATAAGGCAGTTGTTGCTTCATCACTTTAATTTAAAAAAAAAATCAAATTGAAATGAATTTTTATAAATTATTTTATTGGATGATTTACCGTGTTACTAAATGTAACTCGTTGGCTTCATTAACGCCCAAATATCGCCCAGTGGTCAGATGTCGAATTCTCATCGGATGGTACCAATTGATAAACCCTCCGGCCCATTTTGTCCTTGCCAGTTCCAGCCTCCATAGCGATCTGGCTTGGCTTAGAACACTACCACCTTCATAAACCACAACGCTGAAAAATAAACAAAAAATTACAACTAATATTAACCAAATGAAATTGAAAATTACTTTTGCCCAGCTTCTGAAGACCATGTCGAAGGGATTGTTAAACATTCATCTCCTCCGTGAAAAAATCTTAAGACATCGCCGCCAAAAACATAACCTGAAATTTTAATATTTCAATATTTTTTTCACAAACTCGTATTATGAGCATTTGACATACCAACATATTTCATTTTACTAATGCCCGTTCCATACGGTTGAACTGACCAATGTGTAACATGAAATGAAGCGTTTACAATTGACTGGTCATTTTCTTTTGTCGTATGCTGAAATATTTGTACAAATTATGAGAAGTGATTGATATATTGATAAATTAATCTTAAATAAGTAATTAATAAATAATTACCAGGTATCTTTCTGTCGCCACTGATACCAAAATTAGATCGTCACCTACTCTGACTTTCTCACCTTCTGATCTCTGTTTTGAAGCTGGGTGAACAGTCCACCAGCAAGCCTCTCCTGTAAATACAAAACTAAAGTAACACTTAGAAGATTATTTTATATATAAGAAAAAAACATTATGCTGGAGAAGGGGGCAAAAAAGCAAAATTTACTGTTTGCAAGAAAAATAAAACCGATTTACAGTACAATTATTCTCATTGTGAAATTCTTGATAGAATTTTTCAGTAATTTCTAATTGTGTAATTTACAGGGTTAGTCTGTCTGATGCATTTTGGTTTTTGCCATCTTCAGGGTGACTGTGATTCTGTCTCTTTTATATGGTCATGGAGGGGCCCATAGATGTAGTAAAGATAGTGAAGTGCCAAAATGTGTCTGTCAGACTACACCAACAAGGAAAGGCAATCTTAGATGATCGGTAATGACCAAATTATAGGTTCATTACAATACATTACAGGGTGGGTTACCCATATTACAAGGGCGATGGTGGGAATCGAACCCATGACCGAAGTGTATATGAGCTGAGAGTCTATCACGCTGACCACTTGGCCGGTCCCCTTCATGTAATTTATCTTAAACTAGTGTTTATGCCAACTGTGCATATGTAAATATATTGTACTCTTAATCCCACAAGTAGTTCTTTGCCTTTGATCCCCTCGGCTTACGGGAGCCAACTTCACTTCTCATGGAATTCTCTTACGATCCACTCCTCCTATTCTCGCCAGCTTTTTGATATTTAAAGTTATGCCAGTGATTTAACGTTTTTTGGTTCAACCCGAAAATTTCCCAAGAAAATTAGCCGAAGCTGTACACCGGAGACTATGACAGACTCAGGCCCGAAGTTGTGTCACCGCTGTGAATTGAACAAGTTTCAGCAAGGTGATTTTCTGGGCATTATTTTTGGGTGAATGGTTTTATTTAATTTTATTTGAAACATTGACTCACTTTAATTTTCTCATTTATCTTTGTTCATTTTGATTTTTTATTATTTAATTTTCTTAAGAAATTATTCTTTTTTTCTTTCTTCAAATCATTTATTTCAAACGATTAAACACTTAGTTTAATACAATTAATTAAGGTTTTTAGTTGAGATAAAAAAGTCAATGGCGAGGATTGAAGCGGGATTCGATTGAAAAATGGCAAAAAGGAGGGAAAATTCAAAAGGTGGGGTTGAGATGGGAAGTTAGTGTCCGAGTGGATCAAGGTCACGATAGCTCAAGTGGTAGAGCATCGGCGTATCAAGCCGAAGATCGTGGGTTCGAATCCCGCTCGTGCCATTGACTTTTTTATCTCAACTAAAAACCTTAATTAATTATAATATATTAATTGGTCAAGGGGCCCACGAAATTAGTTAGTTAGTTTAATGCTACTTGTAAACCATATGTCATTTGGCAATCTCTGATCATGCTAGTTTTCCTAATCTCAATGGTTTGGTCTGTCAGATGAATTTTGCCATCTTCAATGATCGTTTTTATTATTATATTCTTTATGCGATAATGACTATGAAGTTACTTATACATCTTAGACATGTGTAAGCTAGATTATGAGTTTGTGACTCTTTTTGTGTCTGCTTCTTGCTTAGAGAGTTGTGATTTATTTTAAACTTTCTACATCTTCAACAAGCCCAGCACTGAAAATGGTGAAATGCTGATCCTTTCTTTGTAATTCTTATTATCGATTAATTATTTAAGAATGTTACTTGTACGCTCACAACACTTAAGAAGTTATTTACAAATAAATTATTATTATTGATTATTAATAATACCTTGGGAATGTTCTTGAAGACCAACATCAAATGATAACTTATCATGGGATGAACTTGTTGATAGGCAAGCCAGGTACTAAAACAAGAAAAATTCATTTTAGTTCGGCCAGTTTTAAATTATTCTAAAGCGGTAAAACTGGTTAAGCTATAATCTTGATTTTTTGTTAATTAATAATTACAGTAAAAGTCTTATTTATATACTGGGGACAAGTTTGTACTTATTTGAAAAAAAAATTACAAAAAACTTGAGTGTTGTTATTGCCATTTGTTAATTGCATGAACAATTTTATATTATACAAGTAAGTTTTAATATTAAAATATATTTATATACATTTTTTTTAAATAGATTAAATAAATTAGATTTTATAGTTTGTGAAAATTGAAGTGCAAAAAAATTTACTTTGAATCGCTGAAAATAAAGGTAACTTCACCATAAATATTTCTTTGTAGGAGTGAAATAAAATATTAATAATAATTTAATAGTTTTAATAATTTTTGTTTGAATAATAGTTTATGATCATGTTTTATCTTTGATAATTTATGCTTATTTTATGAAAATTTTTATGTGTTTGATTGTTGTAATTAGTTTTGAACTGTTAATTTTGGTGAGCGTTCTACACAAACCAACGAAAAGTGGACCAAGTCTCTTATAATTTAGTTCTACATTATACAGAAATAACCTTAAAGTATTTTTAAGAAGAAAACTGACAAATTAATTTAGTAACAATTCAACGTGAACTATTAAATAAATATTTAATTTTCAATTTCACCTTTATTTGAATATAATTCATTGCCATACATTTGCACTTACTATAGCACTCTGACCCTGCAAAACATTATAATTTAGTAATAATTAACCATTAACTTTTTGTTTTAAATTGAGATTTTATGTAGGTAAAAAAATAGAAGGGTCAAGAATGTGGATTGTAAGTTTTCTTTTTAATCATATTTAACAAACTTTACATGCTTAAGTATAAATTAAAATTATACATCTGAGTTGAACGTACCATGGAACTGTTTTGATGTCTCAGTAAAATAGCATTACCATACAGCAAAGTTCTATGACCGGAGCCTGTTCCTTTCCCCTGAAAATGTTCATGTTAACGATGTAAATAGTGCTTTTGACAAAATAAATAGATTAAGCTATGAAAGAAAAATGTTAATGATACTAGACTGAATGTTCCTATCTGTACATTAAAAAAAAGGTCAACCAAGAGATCGATTCAAAAAATTTATTGTCACACAAAAATAAAAATTTTCAAAGCAATGTATCGATTACACACGTTAGTTAAATAGAATTGCCCACACGAATTTGGTTAAAATCTGATACTACTACACCTCAACACAAAGTAAAAATTTGGTTTTGAAAAAGCTCGTTTTTAGTCTACACGTTAAAAAATAAAAAAAAATTTCTTTGACTTATAAACTCTTTCACCTCTTGTAAAGGTTGTATATGACTAATACCAATAATGACTCTGCCTTGATTTTGGTACTTACTAAAGAATCCTGAGCCTGCAAAATATTAATGATTGTAATGATGATTTGTCATTATTCACTTACACTTGAATGAAATGATTTTGTTATGATGACAATATGACATTTTTAACTTCATGTACGATTAAATATTGATAACTGACACATTCACACAATTGTCAAAGACAATGACACCGTTAATATCTCACCTCTTCTGTTCCAGCCGCGGTGACCAACTCTTGGAGAGCTCTGACTGAAAGTGCCTGTTCTATCACAAATACACATGTTGATAAATCTGGAGGGATATTCTGAAAACGTCAAACTTTTTTCAGTGAAAATTATATTTCATAGGAAAAGAAATAAATTAAATAATAATTTAACTTTTATATAAAGGATTTTAAATGATCCAATTTTTGGTTTTTAAATTAAAAAGTTTTGATAAGTTTTTAGATTTAAGCGAAAGTTTATACCTTATCAGCTATATTTTCCAGAAAACAATGCCTGTTACCAAATCCTTCAGCAGCCAAGCAGACTCTCTCCCCTGTTGCTGTACAGGATAGACAAACCATGTCTTCCTGTAATGAAAATTAAAAAAAAAATTAATTTTCATTTATAAGTAGTTTCTATTATGAATGTTAAAAACCTTAAACAATAATTATTAACGTTTTCTGTAATTTCCTCGTTTTTAATGACCTTAAACTAATATCGGATAGGTCAAAAGAGTGAGGATGAACTAAAAAGACCCAACTACAGTTTGATCACTCCACATACTTCAGCAAAACATTTTTGTAATTCATTTAAAATGTACCATTGCAATGAAAAAATTAAATCTTCTAGAAGTTGGTAAACACATGCTGAAACATGCTGAGCTTGAAGACTTTACTGGGTTTGACTACTCTCGTTGGTTTACATTTCACCTGAATTCATTTTAGCTTCATTTCATCTTCAATAAGGAGTTTGCCAGTACAGTGATAAAAGTGTCAATGTGCCACAGGTTGGCTTTATTTTATAATTTTCCTCTAATATGACAGAGAGATTTAAGGTTTATTTTATTATTAAAGTTACCCTAATAAAATTTAACATTTTAAATATTTTTCTTTGTTTTGGAATGGATGAATGAATAAAAACAGAACTTTATTTACAAAAAGAAAATATATTTTATATACTTAAGAAAGTATAACACAAATTAAAACAACAATGTTTTTATACAGTGCTGATTATTAAATCATCAGCTGGAGGTGGTGGCAGGCTATTCACTTGAATAAAATATAATATATACAATCAAAGATAATAATAAAAAATTAAGTATTCAAAATTAAATTAAAACTATTAGCTAAAAATTAAACTGGGAGCGTTGGTGGCCGCAGCGGTTTTGGCGTTGACATGGTACTCATCGCTGTAAGGCCGAGGTCCAGTGGCTCTGCTATCAAACCCGGCATACTTACAAATTTTTTTTCTAAAAACACTGGCACTCCGGGATCCATATAACCTTGTTGTTGAACCCCCCCCCCAAAAAAAAAAAAAAACCCCTGCTCCATGAGCTCTCTGCAGTAGTCCAGTGCACTCTTTGAAAATCAACTAGGTCTGAACAATCTGAGGAATTAAGTTGTGCGATCAAACACACTCTCAAAACTTAGTAGTTCCCAAAAAGAAAATTTAAAACTCCGGAAGAATGGGCCACTCAGGTAAAAAAATGGAAGAGGTCTTTTTTACTGCACGAGTTACACAGTGAACAGCAACAGGACCATCTCTTAGAGGGGAGTAATTAAGGTAGATAAGTTCGAACTTAAGTTTGAAGGACCAGCTTAAGTTGGTAGAGGACAACTTTAGATAATTGTTGGACAAGTCAAAAAATGCTTTTGAATGATTAAGATCTTTGTAGAGCGGAAAATCGAGGATCTAAGAGTCAGTATGAAGAATGTTCAAAATGCCTAGAATGAATGGATGATTCAAAAGATAATTTAGAGAACCATTCTTCATGGTTGTTAAAGAACAACACAGAGATAATATTCAGTTCTTGGACTGAATTAAGTGTCTTAAACCAGGATAAATTAGCATTAATTATTTCAACCGCAGTAATTTTGGTCAGTCAGTGTCCAGCTTAGATATGAAAGGTGGAGATTCAGTAAACTAATAAAAGTTCAGATGATGTTTGTAATTATAATACGTGGTTAAATTCAGCAGGTGAAATAATTTACGGGGAAAAAAGATTTGACTACATCGAACTGCTAATAACCCCTAAACCTGGGAAACATAGCGTACCATTCAGGAACACACTACCTTAAAAACCTTGAACTTAGTATCAGGTGGAAATAGGAAGTTTGAGAGAAAGTTGAACCAAGTCGTATTTTCGTTGTATAAATTTTCTTCTTGAGGTGAGATGCTAGAGATAGTTTGGGTGTGAAGAGCACCCAGAGGTACTTATATTCACAATGTCAATTCATCTGCCACCAAAGAACCACCATTCCCTATTGTCCATTCTGCTTTCCCCTATGAAAAACTAATATTTTGGATTTATGTAAAGTTACTGTAAGATTCCAACAAGAGCAGTAATTTTCTAAAGCTTCAATGTTTCTCTGCAAGGCAGATGGAGAGGTGGCCAGAATGACTACATCATCAGCATAGAGAAGGCTTTTAATTATTCCAATTGAATAGCGAATTCCAAAATCTAAAGCATCTGGAAGATCATTAATAAGTAACAAAAACAGGAAGGGGCTAAGGATGCAGCTCTGTCTAACCCCACATCCAACTGGGAAATATTGAGAGACCATGTTGTTATCAGCAGAACCTGAATGTACGAATAAGCCAGTAGCATGTTAATAATTGTAGAAGAAAAGCCTTTTGTTTGCAATCTTCATAAAAAGATTCTTTGTTTATAATCACATAAAAAAATTGTACCTCTACGTTAATAAACTTAAACCTTAAAAATTTAGTTGAAGGAATCGTGTTTTATGTTAAACTACTCATAGAAAAAGTGTTAAAATTAAATGAGTTAATAAAAAGCCGAGGTGTATTGAATTTTTTAATTTATTAAACGGACTATCACACACGTTTTTTCAACTATCACACAAGTTTCATCAATTGTAATTCTTCTTTAAAAAGTTGGTGACTTGGTCCAGAAATTGCTTTGGCTGTTGAGCGTGCACCAGGTGGCCGGCATTTTCAAAATAGACGATCTCCGCTTTCGGAAACAATTTGTAAATCCCCCTATGGTCTTCACGTTTGACATAAGGGGATTTTTCGCCGCAGATGAACAATGTCGGTTTTGGGAAAGTGGAATTATCTGAATACGGCATTTCTGCTATATTGGGCATGTTCTTGACCAGAGAATCTAAATTGATCCTCCATGTGAATTTGTCGTCCCTTGTTTTGACAAGGTTGGTCAATATGAAATTTCTCAGCCCTTTACTCTTGATGTAGCCTGAGAGTCTCATGTTCGCGATGGCACGACCTTTCGACAGGGGCAGGCTTTCGGGAAGACTTATTTCCTGGAGGGTTCGGACTAAGGCCTCGTAGTACTCAGGCTGTGGTATGATCCCGATTGGAGATATGTCGACCACGACTAGATCCCTCACGATGGAAGGATACTGGAGGGCCAAGGTCATGATGGTCCTTCCACCCAAGGAGTGTCCGATCAGACTCGCCTTTCCTTTGTCCACGCCGAGCTCGGACATCAGAGCTCCGACGTCCGCCGCCAAGTGGTTGTAGGAAAAGTCGTCGGTGTGAGGACTGTCACCGTGATTACGGTGATCCAGCGCGATAACCCGCCTCTTCGTTATCGACGCGAGGTTCTTGGACATGGTATTCCAGTTCATCTTCGACCCGAAGAGGCCGTGGAGTACAAATATCGGACTCTCTTTGTCTACAACCGGGTCTGGGTCGTACATCGCGTAGGCCAGCGAGACCGTCCTCAGGTCGCTCTGGTCCCGCGCTGTCATTATTGACTGAGTCCTGCATGCCAGTCGTGCCAAAGCTCTATGTGCTTCGCCGTCGTTGACTGTGTGACGAAATAAACTATATGTCAATGCCTGAAAGAGGAATTTTGATTTTTGTGACGAGAACATGTTGGATTTTTGATCGTTAAGGTTTTTTTGTAAACATATGTAATATTTAAAATCAAATTGTATTTACATATTAAAAGTCACATTAAAATTATTAGCGATAATTAATCATTCAGCTTATGTTTTATATAAATGAATGTCGGTTATATGTAATTACAGAGAGAAGAATTACTATTACAGTACAAAAAAGTATCAGGCAATTTTTATTATTCAACCGTGTAAATGGAGTGTTAACATCCACCGGATTCAAAATAAAGCCAATTAATCAAATTTAATTTTTTAAGAATATAATGGTGATACTACAATGCCTATAGATTTAAGCACCCGGCTTCGGACAAATAGTAAGTTATGTGTAGAATAAAAGCGCTATAAGCTAAGTAATTTTAAATTGTGTAATTTTGTCCTGTAGTTTGGACATTTCCGATCATTTTGGCCTGTCTGTCAGGTGCTTTTTTGCAATCTTCAGTGATGGTTGTCTTGCCTTTCTTGCTTATATCCCTGAAGATGGAATGTGGGAAACATTTGTGTGGTTGAACCGAATTGATTACCAAATTGATCGACGAGTTTCGGTTTCACATGTTCAGTGCCTTGTTGTTTTGCCCCACTTAATATCCACGCCTTATTATTAGCCAGTTGTGGACTGCATATCCACGCTGATTGGTCACAATAGGTCCTATAGGTCGAGGTGCAAGCGTGGTTCTCTTCTATTCCTATCCTCGCTGGTTTGGCCTGTCAGACCAGTTTCGGCGTTGCGCCATCTTCATTGATGGTCTTGTGCTGTTGTCTGTTGACCGTGACCAATCACTAAATGTCATACTGTAATGGGCCTGAAAGATAAAACAGCGAGGTAGACCAGGGGAATTGCACCTTTCCATTCGAATCTTATGTTAGCGACGTAGACCCTGGATATCAGCAATTTATTGAATTACTGGCGTATCCCAGGGCAATGCATTGGGCCCTCTGTTATAAATGTTATACACTAACTTATGCCTCGTCCATCAAGCCCGATTCGTATTGTTATTCCAACGAACATCACAGGTCATCAAGGAACATGACTGCTTACTGATTAACTGAGCAACTGGTTGAAGAACGTTGGGTCTCACTCAATAAACATATTCAAACCAAATTCACGTTTCGATGAGAAATGTACAATAAAAACTCAAATAAGTCCTCAAGTAATGAACCTTATCATCTTATACATACTGACTGCTTCAACTATTCTTCATCATTCAAGCCAAATTCTATTTATGTAAAGGATCGACATCACAGGTCAACAGGGAATAAGAATGGTTACTGATAAAGTAAGCAACTGATTAAAGAATATTAGGTTTTACTCAACAAACCTCGCGTGTTTCACAAATAAATTGAAATCGTGACAGCAAAATCTCAAATTATTACCGGTTCCCGAGCTGAAAAACTACTAGCTACTCAAGATTGTAAACTATTATAGAACGGTCTAAAACGTGTCCGACACCTTCTCCTTAGAAATTCGACCCATTTTTGTTGTACGGCCGTATTATCACAGAAAAAACACAAATCACGTAACATCCTCAGATTGATCACGGGAGCTGTGTGGTATGTGCGAAACTCCATATTTTTATCTAACATGGAAATAACCGAGATCAGAAAAGTTATCTCCAGGTAATTCCTATGATCACCGTGCCAACTCATCCAAAATGACTTCTAGATTTAGGAGAGGCTACCTTACACTGAATGACACGGAGAAAAAAAGCGCCATTCCCAGCTTATATCCCTGCTGGCCAAACGAGGTTCTCTTATATTTAGTTTTCAATTGGCCCGGGTGAGCGAGGATATGCAGTCCAAAATGACCAGAATCGATCTTACAAACTAATGTAAGTTAACACTATTGAATTCTCTACATAAACATCGTGTAATTAATGTAAATGTAAAATAAATCCCATAGAGGCGCTGAGAGTTGTTTTGTTTCTTTATATTTATAACAATTGTACATCCCACAAACCGTTGGGTGGCTTCCAAGAGTTATTTGGCCTGCAGACGTGACGGTATAAATTCTTTAAGCCTGGGAACAACGGCCGGTTCGTTAACAGGGTCACTACCAGCTGTATTACACTAGCTTTATCTCGAATAAAAGATCTCGAGGAAAAATATTCCATGTTTTAGGTATGTTTTCCATGTTGCTTTTTTTCTTTTTTTTTACAAACGGCGAGTAAAATTTTTTCTCTCCAAGTTCGGAAAAAAAATTTCTTTGTATTATACGGTTTATTTATGCTAACAAAAAGATTATATTACATATTCTCACAACTGTTTCATAACGGTTTGCGTGTGGTTAAAGTTCCCTCATTAATTTTCATGAGTATTAACAAGTGACACGCAGAGCAAAAGTCGAGATTGCACAAATACGCCTAAGACCTGCAGGCGGCTTAATGATCAGAATAAATGCGGTTTCTGTACGGCAAAGAAAAACCTTAAAGTTCATGCCATTATGGAAAAGATCGCAAGAAAGGTTAATGAAAATGTTGAAGAGGATAAGGTCTTGAATGAAGTTACAAATTTATGCCAACAAATCGCCGAGCTTTCGCGACATATAGTCGCATCATCAGGGCATTGCTGCAGAATTATATAACATTATGTAACATATCATTATATAACACACATCCTTATTAAAAATGATTTTTTTTTTTACTTTATGCTCGTAGACAGAGGGACCTCGAGACCGACTATTTTATTTTAAATTTCACCTAATCAACTTTACTCCAAAAGTCCATTAACATAAAAAACCACAACTACGATCGACGAATCTAGTCAGAAAGCACACAAAGGTCCAAATGGTCTGTGAAATGGATAAAAATAGTCGTCTTTCTCAAATATGAAACATATAATTCAGCAGCAGAGCCCTGAAGATGCGACTACATGTCGCGAAAGCTCGGCGAATTGTTGGCATAAATTTGTAACTTCATTCAAATCCATAAACCTGATCCTCTTCAACATTGGAAAAAACTGGTCGATCCTCTCCGTAACGTTCATGAGAATTACTCTTTATGTAAGATATTGGATGAGATAATGAAGTCAGTGTCACGAGCGGGATTCGAACCCACGACCTTCGGCTAAATACGCCGCTGCTCTACCACTTGAGCTATCGTGACCTCGATCCACTCAGACATCAACTTCCCATCTCATTTTTCTCTACTTTTTGCCATTTTTCAATTCGAAAGATTGGGTTGAGATGGGAAGTTTGTGTCCGAGTGGATCGAAGTCACGATAGCTCTAGCGGTAGAGCAGCGGCGTATTTAGCCGAAGGTCGTGGGTTCGAATCCCGCTCGTGACACTGACTTCATTATCTCAACCATACCTTACATAAAGAGTAATTAATTGAAAGATGTTATTTGATCAATCGGACCACAAAACCTACTGAACTTAATGAGAATGATAATACAATTGTTACGGTGAAGTAAATTTTGAAAAAATATGGTTGAAATTTTGAAAATGACTTCTTTTTATATTCTTTTATTTATTTTTTAACTTCGGTTCGCAACAGCAGAGGTCATATCAATCCTCAGGGTGCTGGTGTTTTTGAAAAAAAAGCACGGCCGCTGGATTCGAACCCTGGACCTTTACCTTACAGTGATGAGGGCCGTGTCTACGCCTAAACCGTTGTGGCCACCGACGCCCCTCTTTTATCTATTGTTTATCCTAGTCCTAATGAGAGAGTGAGAGAGAGAGAGAGAGAGAGAGAGAGAGAGAGAGAGTGAGAGAGAGAGAGAGCACAATCATGGAAATGAGATCAATAACGAACATCTCAAGGCTGTAGCAATTAAAATATTATCAGATATCGTAGTAAAGAAAATTCACATGCACATGTAAGGAAGAAAAAAGGGTAGTAACCATCTAGCTTTCAATCTTTCTTTTATTAAGTCCCTTAATCTTCCTTAAGTCGTTCATAATTCATCAGCTAGGAAATTGTAGAGAAGTTTAGCCATAAATCATAAATTGTGTCCCTTGAAATAAATTGAGACCATGGCGGGTCCAGAATCTCATCAGTAAACGAGGGGAGGAGGGCAAAAAAGTTATTGTATCTTTTATTATTTTGTCTATTGTTTGTTCTAGATACAATAAAGTAATAAGTAAAAATCCATTGTCAATTGTTATATTTTAACTTTTAATGTTTTGAGCTTGTGCTAACCTATTTGTAACTGCAGACTACATGTATCTAAGTAAAAACGTTGAAAAAATATCTTTTTGAATAGGTTATGCACATACAATCTTTGTTTTTTTCATAAACATGTTTATTAATTATTGCTAAATAAATTAATGGTATTAGTTAGAATTGATCCCAAAATTAATAATCTCACACAGAAGAGTCATTTGAAGTGATATTTGAAAGTGATACGATTTGTGGATGTTTTTCAACTACTTTTAACGTCAAATTCAAAGAAAAATCTGTAAGAGTGGGCGTAAAAGAAATGAACTAACTTAATTGTAGATATTCTGTGTTTTTAATTTATTTTTTTTATTTTTTTCATTAGTCAAATTAAATTAAAAAATGTAATTTTATTGTTATTTTCCTATACATTTTAAATATTGCGCACTTTTTCAGATAAATATTTTTTTTTGTTAAATAATCTCACACAAAAGAATCACTTCAAGTTATAAAAGTCACGAGTTTTCTGGAGGTTTTTAAACTACTTTGACAATTTACAAAGTTTCAAGTTAGAACGCAGATGAAGTGATGGCGAACGGTCTGCTATCAAAACCCCTAGGCATTGCGGAACTGTTGCCTCTGCGCCGTGTTTTATCAAACTTTTTCCACTTGCTGTTATCGTAATGCAAAGAACAACTTAATTAACTCGAGCAATTGTTATGTCGAACTGATCCCAATTACTACTACATGAATCAGAAGTTGCCTTGGGCGGTTGAAACAAGCATTTAGGCCGAATCCCGCTTACGTGTCCTGGATGCTGTGAAAGGTTGCCCGATGTGTGCCAATTAATTGAAGGGATCATTCCTTGGCTCCACATAGAGAGCGTGTGAGAATTCCATCCGATATAAGAATTGTGCTTGGGCTCGGCAGAGGGTAATTGGATCC